CCAGGATTCACGTTCGGCGCAAAGAAGGATGATAAAAAAGACGACAAACCTGCTTCCGGATTTTCATTTGGTGCTAAGAAGGACGAAGACAAAAAAGATGACAAACCTGCTTCGGGATTCTCATTCGGTGCTAAGAAGGACGAAGACAAAAAGGATGAGAAATCACTTGCCACTACCACTACTTCTACCACCAAACAAGAGCCAAACTTAAAACCAACCAAGATTGAACCACAAGCGGTATCTATTGATAACAAGACCATGGATGACTTAATAATTAAATGGTCAAAGCAACTATCCACAACGTCAAATATCTTTGAATCATATACTTCTAAAGTAAAGCAATGGGATCAACATTTAGTTAAGAGTGGTGATGAAATATCCAAATTACATCAAGACACGTTGGAGGCTGAATCGTTGCAGAATAAAATCGACCAGCATTTATTATTTGTTGAAAACCAACAAGATGAATTGGATCAAATATTAGATAACTATGAAGCACAAGCTGATATTTTGTTGAATAATATCGAGTTAAACAATTCTACTAATGACGGTTTCAACAGCGGCTTATCAAATTTCTCGAATGGAGGGTCAAATGGTGGTTTAAGTGTTACTGATAAATTGCGTGAAAAAGCTTACCATAATGCAGAACTATTAGACGAAAGATTGGATAATATGGGAGATAACTTGACAACATTAATCAACGAAATTAACTCCGTGAGTGATGTTTTCAACAAAAACTTATTGAATGATATATCGAATACGAATGATCAGAATAATGAAACCAAGCAAGTTGAACAATCACAGGAAAATCCAGTAGAGGAGATAGTCAAATTGTTGAATTTGCATTTAGAAAATTTAAAGTATATTGAAAAATCTGAAGCTACATTAAAGGAAGAATTGTCGAAGATCAATCGTACTAAGAAGATCCAATTTTAATCTTCAATCAAGAATTTCATAGTTAAATTATATAGGTTATATAACTCTTTTAATATATTGTAATTATACTGATAATCTGGGCCATGGTTCACTGCTGTCACATGAAAATTGCGATATTGTCCCAGGTAATTTCAAAATACTGGAGGCCATATCAATGCTACTCGTTGCAAGCGGTCTATCGTTCGTTCAGAGAAGTAACGTAAAGGGAATATTAAAACAGAAACTATAATGGGTGCTCCTTCAGTATTTGATGTTATTAAGCTTTTATTTAATCCAGATGTGTCAAAAAAACTTATCTTGCAAATAGCTTATCAGCAATTGAGCGCAATTGGGTTAGCAAAGATCTTATCAGCCGTCCTTGGATCAGCCATTGTTGGTGTTTCATCAATTATCAAGATTCCTCAAGTAAAGAAGATTATAAATCCAAAGTTGTTGACTCAAAAGGTTTCTGTAGCTCGGGGGTTGTCATTAGAGGGAATTAGTTTAGAAACAATGGTTTACTTGGTTCACGTTCTTTACAATCGCCAAAGTAAAAACAAGTTCGTCAACTACGGTGAAGCCTTTTTGCTAGGGATACAAAATGTGGCTATTATCTTATTAATCGAGTATTACAATCTTAGATCCAAATTAGCAAAAAAAGACACCCTATCTGAAAAGGAACAAATTGAAACGGCCATGAAGGAGCTTGTGACACCAATCTCAATTATGGTAGGGATTGTTGTTTTCTTGACTAAGATCGCTGAGCCTTCTCTTGTCGAAGCGTTGCAAGTGTTGAATATTCCTCTCTCAATAATTTCTAAATTACCCCAAATTAAGCAAAACTACGATTTAAAATCAACTAGTCACTTATCTGAAATAACAGTTGGTGCTAACGTACTTGGATCATTGATAAGAGTCTTCACTACTATCCAAAGCTTTAACAGGTTAGGTAGAGACTACGTTTTATTAGCAGGGTACACTTCTTCCTTTATTGTTAATTCATTTGTTGCAGGCCAATGCTATTATTATAAAAAATTATACAAGAAGGATGAAGAAGCCGATAGTAAGAAACTTCAGTAGACCTTTTTTTTGGTATTCTTATATAGTTATATGCCGTTAAACATACGTATCTGATTTTAGCATGTATGGCCTTTTTATTACAAATCGACTTCGATTTCGACTGACGTTAAAATGCTCACTGAAAAATTGAAAAAGGCATATTAACAAGAGTAACTCAAGTTGAATAATCACGGAATAATCACGACATGGTACATAAGGCAGAGTTTTTACCATCCGAAGGCACCTCTATCTCTTCAGTATTACAAGGAGGATATAATCATCCTTTAGCAAGAGAATGGCAACATGAACGTCAACTTACTAAGAACATGTTTATTTTCCCACTCTTTGTCTCTGATAAAGCAGACGAAGCTACCCCAATTGATGCATTACCTAATATTAAGAGATATGGTATCAATAAATTGATTCCATACGTGGGTAGTCTTGTTAAAAAAGGTCTTAGAGCTGTCATATTATTTGGGGTTCCATTAGCTGATGGAGTAAAGGATCATTTGGGAACAGCCGCTGATGATCCGGAAGGACCAGTGATTTTAGCTATCCGCAAATTAAAAGAGAACTTCCCAGATTTGTTCATTATGTGTGATGTTTGCTTGTGTGAATACACTAGTCATGGCCATTGCGGAATCTTGTACGAGGATGGATCTATTAATCGTGAAGAGTCTGTTCGTAGAATTGGTGCGGTAGCAGTGAATTATGCTAAAGCTGGTGCTAACTCTGTCGCTCCATCTGATATGGTTGATGGTAGAATTAAATACATCAAAACTGGCTTAATTAATGCTGGCTTAGCCCATCAATGTTTGGTCATGTCCTACGCAGCTAAATTTAGTGGTAATTTATATGGCCCGTTTAGAGACGCAGCCGGCAGTACTCCTAGTCATGGAGATAGAAAGGCTTACCAGTTACCATCTGGAGGATCAGGTTTAGCGCGTCGTGCTTTGATAAGAGACATGGATGAAGGTGCGGATGCTATTATTGTAAAGCCTTCCACTTTCTATTTGGATATCGTTAGCGATGCCGCTAAGCTCTGTAAGGACTATCCAGTTTGTGCTTATCATGTTAGTGGTGAATATGCAATGTTACATGCTGCTGCTGAAAAGGGTGTTCTTGATTTAAAGGGTATAGCATTCGAAAGCCATTACGGTTTATTACGTGCTGGTGCAAGACTTATTATCAGTTACTTCACCCCAGAATTCTTAGACTGGCTTGATGTGTAATTACGTTACAAAATATTAACGACTGACGAGGTTCACTTCAAATTTACGTACTATTTGATCTTTCTATATAAACAATAATGTACATTCATGATCATGCAGCTAATGGCTCGTTAGGTTTAGACTTGACTGGCTTTTCCTCTTCCTCTTCCTCTTCCTTTTTATCGGGAATTTTTGATTCTGGTTTAGTATTAGGCACAGCAGGCATTCCAATATCTTGTCGGGCTTCCGTTTCGACCTTCTTGGTGCCGTTGACTTCTGCTTCTAAATTGGCTAGTTCCTCATCCACTTCGTGCTCTTCACCATTGCTCAAGCCCGAACCCATGCCGAGCATATCCAGTACCTCGTCCACTTTCAACCGCTCATCCTCTAGGCCATCCAATACCTTGTCTATCTTGTCCACGCTCATTTCCGAATTCAACGACTTTAGCACCTCATTACCTTGTTCCAACCCATACATAACATCCTTTTCGATCAATTTGAATTCGATAGTGCCGATTAATGTCTCTAAATTGTCGAGCTGTTCGTACGTCTTCGTTATTGTTGTCTGCTGCTGCTTCTTTGATCTCAAATAAACCTTCGCCCTTGCATTATCTTTCTTGACTATAGCTTCTTTAGCTAATTTATTCTGCCTTTCTATTATCGTGTTCAACTTCCGTTGATATTGTTTCAATTTGTCTCGTTGTTGCTTCAACTGGAAAATAGCTCTGTCTTGCAGAGTGATTTTTGGCATTGATGTTTGCTGTCCCATTTGATATTCGTAATTTATTATAACAACAACTATCTACAATAATATCCACCCTATAGTATAATATATGGGCGTATATTATATCGTATGGTATCGTTAATGCTCTTTTGACCTCTATCTTATCGAATATGGTATGGAAGTTGATATGGGTTCATCAGATGACATGTCGCAAAATATAAATTTACGACAAAGCTTACAAAAGAAAAAGACATACTCATTTGTGTTCCTAATTGGGAATATTTGTAAATAGAATATACAATGGCTTATACAATCGATGGAATAATAATAATATCGAATACAGTAATTTTACTAGATTCTATTTAATGAAAGAAGGCAATTTAGCAAAGACGGAATAATTTAAATCGAAAGAACGATCTTCAGGAAAATTAATAAGAAATCGAAAGTCGAAGCAAATACAAAAAACTCAATTGTCTACCTGCCTGAAATATTTCGTTCCAAACCTGGTAATCTTATAGAAGTAATACATGCATCACACTTGTTAGTAAATATATTCACGAGAGACAGAAAGAAAAGACGAGAAACCAAATTTGATCAAAAAAAAGGAGAAAAGGAACTTTAGCATTCATAGAAACATTTGTCATTTACATTTTGCATCCTAATATGTCCCATTCATTATTCTTTGATTCACCATCGAATAGCTCTCCGGTCAAGAGTGCACATCCACTCAATCCTGAGAAGGATAATGGTTCCAAGAAGAGAAGCTATTGTACATCACCTACTGGCGATAGTGGGTTGAACTCGTCACCGAATAAAAGGGTGTACTTGCAGCATATGAGTCCTAACGTCACAAGAAAAACGATCCAGTTCAACCATATACCACCCACACCGGTAGGAGAATCAAATAAGAGCGGGTTAGAGACACCGTGGGATGCCAAGCTCATCCCAAGACCTAAACTTAAGGCACCCATTTCCAACCCAAGGTCGAAATCTTCGTTGGTGTTATCACGCAGCTCGCATTCGCCCAAGCATAAATTGCGTCGTACTAATTCATTAATATCTACAGGAGGATCCTCAAGTTCGTCTGACAATCAACAGCAGTCATCGACTACGTCTTCGGACAGATTTATTCCATCACGCCATAACTCCACTAACGGGAAATTACAAACGGATAACACAAATCCCCACCCTAATGCATCACCAGAAACCCATATAAAAGCTCAAACATCAAAAATATACCAACACCATGTAGCTGAAGCATGTGGTCTAGAAATGAATTCTAGAATATTACAATTCCAACCATTACCACCAGAAAGAAAAAAACCAGTCAATTTGTTTAGCCATATCTCTACTGCTAATTCCTCATCAAAGTTGGTATTGAATAGCTTTATGAATAAGTCATTGCGGCCTGCAGCAGCTTCAGCAAGGGCTAAAAAGATTCCAACAGCCCCTGAAAGGGTTCTTGATGCTCCCGGTTTGCTTGATGACTTTTATTTGAATTTGTTAGCATGGTCTCTGACAAATTTATTGGCTATCGGGCTAGAGGATGCAGTATACGTTTGGAATGCCTCTACCGGATCAGTTGGACTACTTTGTGAATTACCAAACAAGACCATAGTCACATCTTTAAGATGGTCAGACGATGGCTCATACATCTCTATCGGAAAAGATGATGGACTTGTCGAAATTTGGGATATCGAAACCAACTCAAAACTCAGAACCTTGAATTGTGATAATCATCAAACAAGAATTGCATCCCAAGCCTGGTACCAGCATATTCTCACAAGTGGATCCAGAATGGGTAATATTTACCATTCGGATGTCAGAGTCGCCGACCACGTCGTGAATAAACTTAAAGACTCTCATCTGGCTGAAGTATGTGGCATAGAATACAAGAGCGATGGCCAGCAGTTTAGTTCTGGTGGAAATGACAATTTGGTATGCATTTGGGATATTCGCCAATGCCATAACAATACCTCGTCCCAACCTCTTTTCTCCAAACTGAGCCATAGGGCAGCTGTCAAAGCATTGCTGTGGTGTCCTTTCCAACTGTCCCTCTTAGCCACTGGTGGTGGATCATCGGACAAGACGATCAACTTTTGGAACACATCCACTGGTGCGCGTGTTAACACCATTGAGACTGGTTCCCAGATATCCTCCTTGAACTGGGGATATGCGTCGGGAACAGGAATGGAGATCGTGGCCACTCATGGTTTCCCTACAAATAATATCTCTTTGTTTAACTATCCTACATTGCAAAAAACCGGAGAAATAATGGGTGCACACGATTCGAGAATCCTCAGTGGGTGCTTGAGTCCCGACTCCTTAACCCTTGCCACTGTTGCAGGCGATGAAAATCTAAAGTTCTGGTCATTATTCGATTTATATAAATCCAATAAGAGAGACTACGAAAGAATAGATGGAGATGACGAACAAAGCGGTCTAAATCCTTCTACAAAGCGAATGACAAAAATGATGAATATTCGATGATTCTGTTTCAATCGACAATGGACAATGGACATTCGGCATTCACGCCAATAATACGTAATCATATATATTTAGCGTTTAATACAATCATTTATTTTGCCTATATGATCATTATCGAGATCATTACTTTGGAACCTTTTTCCATCGGTCGTGCGGGGGTTGGCAAAAATCTTTTATATTTTGATAGCGTCTAACATCAGGAGGAATACAATCACATTTCATCAATTTTTGTACAGTTCGCTTTATATAATTGGAAAGTAATCAATAGTCACATAATTGAAATACAAAATTTGCTTTTAGTTGACATATTCTAACCTTAAAATAAGCTCAGTAGTGTGGATTTAAAGGACTAATAATAAATAAATAAAGAATAAAATGGTATCGGATGGAGAGTTTACAAGGACCCAAATCTTTGGGACTGTATTTGAAATAACAAACAGATACACAGATTTAAATCCAGTTGGTATGGGAGCGTTCGGGCTTGTTTGTTCGGCTATAGACAAATTAACCGGGCAAAATGTTGCTGTAAAGAAGATCATGAAGCCGTTCCTGACGTCGGTATTGGCCAAACGTACATATAGAGAATTGAAGCTATTAAAGCATTTAAGACATGAGAACCTTATTACGTTGGACGACATTTTCTTGTCGCCATTAGAGGATATTTATTTTGTTACCGAATTACAGGGGACGGATTTGCATCGATTATTGACATCGAGACCTTTAGAAAAGCAGTTCATTCAATACTTCACGTACCAGATATTAAGAGGACTCAAGTACGTACATTCTGCTGGGGTAATTCACCGTGATTTAAAACCATCGAATATTTTGATCAATGAAAATTGTGATTTGAAGATTTGTGACTTCGGTTTGGCCAGAATCCAAGACCCGCAGATGACTGGTTATGTCTCGACTAGATATTACAGGGCGCCAGAAATTATGTTGACTTGGCAAAAGTACGATACAGAGGTTGATTTGTGGTCTGTAGGATGTATTTTGTCAGAAATGATTGAAGGCAAACCATTATTCCCAGGTAAAGATCATGTTCATCAATTCTCAATTATTACAGAATTATTGGGTTCTCCACCTCCAGACGTGATTGAAACTATATGTTCCGAAAACACATTACGGTTTGTCCAATCATTACCTCACAGAGACCCTATTCCATTCAGTGAGAGGTTTGCGCAATGCACTCATGTTGAGCCTGAAGCTATCGACTTATTGGCTAAGATGTTGATTTTTGATCCTAAAAAGAGAATTAGTGCGTTAGATGCGTTATCTCATCCTTACATGGAACCATATCACGACCCAACTGATGAACCTGTTTGTGAAGTTAAGTTCGATTGGAGTTTCAATGATGCTGATTTACCAGTTGACACTTGGAGAGTAATGATGTACAGCGAAATTTTAGACTTCCATCAGATTATAGGTGCTGGAGCAAATGGGACAACCCAAGAGCAAATGGCTCAAATCCAACAAGAGGGCATTCAAGCTCCTAGCAGCCAATATCAACAAACTAACCAAGAACAGAAAGTTGAATGAATTATTTATAGCTTATTAATAATTTTTACTTCTATATAGTATATAATCCTCTTTCGCCACTGAGTCAAGTTTTGCACCACAACAACTACTGGAAGTGTTCCATTTAAATTACAATATATATAAATTTGAATTCTTATCCATGTACAGTGCGAACTTCTAGAAATCAGAAATCTAGTTACGTCAATATTATTACGTGAAAGTTGGTACCATCGTTAGATCAGTTATGCCTCAGTTCGAATTGAGACATGATCTGAAGCAATATGCCGAGTTTGTGAAGCCTAATTTCATTAAAAAGATTAATAATAAATTATCGTTATCATTAAGTTATTTGGAAAGATCTAATAGCGAAACCGAATGTTTATTAAGTTTTCATAATACCCTGAATGAGGCTATACTTATAAATCCTCACACTGATGAGCACGACAGAATAACTCCAGAGAGCAAGGGATGGTTCAGTAATATTTTTGGATCTAATGAAGACGAAGCGCAAGAAGGAGAAGAAGAAGAGGAAGGGACTCCAAGTTCAGAAATCAAGATTCTCTTGGGATATATTCAATTATTTGGATATGTCGTACTTAATTATAAATTCAGACTAGAAGAATCATCTAATCCTATTGACAGTTACTCAGATAGGTGTTCTTGGTGGGTCAACAAAGAATATGCTTCTCATTATCAGGATAACGAACATACTGCCGACGAGGAAGATATTGAATATAATTTGAATAGAGTGCCATTCATTCAACGAAATTTGAAGGATAGAATGGTTATAGGTGGTAGACTCGGGGGTGTAAATGATTTGATTATCAATGATTCTCAGAATAATTCAAGTATATTAAGTAAACACGATCCTAAAACAATTGATGAAAATGATAGATATCTTTTACAGGATCTATTATTTCCATTCGGTTCAATTAATGCACCAGAGACAATTAATGACCATTCAGACCAAAACAAAGATTCTAAAGGTGTGTTATCGCTTAAGGAGTTAACTGACTCGATAATACCTTTTTATACAACATCTCAATTTCTATTGTTTTCAGATTTGAACCTAGCATCTCAATCGACCAAAACATTTCATATAAAGTTTCCAAAACTTAGTGGGTTATCGCCTTCATATAATACCAGAATGACTAGGCCGGTATGTGACCAAGGCTGGGTAAGTATAAAGTATCTGTTGATAGTCGGATTACTGCAAATGTCGAGACAGCATCACAAAATGAAATCATATAATACATATTTTCCTTTAGAAGTGGAAGGAGAAAGACAAGGAACACACGAAAGATGGTTGCAACAAGATTTCTTGAAAGAAACAAAGATCGATCAAAATTGGAATGTAACCATATGCGATGATACTAGTTTATGTAGCGACCTTGTTGATTCTGGGCCAGAAGATTCAAAGGAAGGAAGACAAACTTTTCTTCAAGATCTATCAACCTTGATCGATTCAGACTTGTATAATATGCCGAAGATATCTACGAGCGAAAGAAAGAAAAGCGTTCCAAACATGCATGATACAACGGAAGTGATTGAACCTGGTTTAATACCACAGTTACCAAATCACTTAAAGACTCAATATCAGATAAGAGTTAATGACCATGACCTATGTCTTCTTAGTATTTCAAAGCCTTATTTTCATATTGGAGAAGATGTCTACTTCGTAATCGACACAAATCCCAAAGACATTAGTAGGACGAGAATAGCAGGATTAATAGTGCATCTTGAAACCCACGAGACGTTTCACACCGAGTCGGACGAAGGAAAGATAACTGATTACAAGAACATATATAAGGTCAGCTCCAGTATAAAGTATAACACATTTGCATCAGCTATTGCAAATTCTAAATTAGACGTCAATGAAACAGAACCATCTTTAATTCATGGTATGATTAATATACCCAAATTTTTAACTCAACAATTCCAAAGCTCCGAATTAATGGAATTAAAGCACTACCTTGTATTCAAATTTAATCTAAATGATTTTGAAGAAAATTCTGAAAATATCGCTACCGAATCTTCTGACAATCAGGATTCACCCGTCGAACAAGATCTGAACGAGGATGTATCTAGAGCACCACTACAAAATGAAGATACAAATAGACTGACAGACCAAGATAAGCATCTTGATACCTTTCAAGATTATAAGTTTGATAATTATGGAGGCGAGCTTAGATTTAGATTACCTATAACGGTCTTGCCTTAAAATTAGACATCAGTTAAATAGATAAATAAAGATTTATTATTAGTTACGTAAACCAATATATAATTTACCTATAATGCTTTTTAGACATTAAAATGCTCGGAGTTCTAAAAATCAATCCTTCAGTCATCGCGCATAGAAGGGAATTAAAAGATAGACATATGTTACTCATACTTTGAAGATATAAATAGTAATATTATCTAAAATGGATTCGAGTGGAAAGATGCAGAAAGAAACAGAAGCAGAATTTTCAACGAAAGATAATGACTTGAATTCATTTGCTCAACTTTCGCTTGATGAGGATAGCGAAGAATTCAATAATTCTACTCATTTCTCTTCAACCGAAGAAAGGTTTATTAAAGATCATGATTTGAAAGTAAAAGCATTCGAGGCCTTGCATAATGGCGACGGTAATGGACAACCACCTAACACTACACCAAATTCTAATACTATTAAGAGAAGGCAGTCCTTTATTGATTTACCTCTTAATCATTCGACAAGTAAATATCCTTATCATCCATTAGGGTCAAACTCGAAGGATAGCGAGACAAGTTCAAATACTTTACCAGAGGAACATCCTTCAGAAGAATTGATTGAAGTTTACCAAGATGTAAAAACGTGCCTTGATCTTAGACACAAATATCTTAGAATCTCTGTTCAAGATGATGAAATGAAAAACCCGAAGAATAATGATGGTTGGACTATTTACCCTCCTGCTCCTAAACCTACTTATAAGTCGAGAAATAAATATAATCAAATTGTGCATGGAGGAAACGATGAAGAAGAGTTTGACTTCAACAAATGTATTATTCCTGAAAGAAGTGATGATTTTTACTTTAAGCAAGACGAGGAAGGCGTATTCCAGGTCTATAAGAGTAACTGTGGCGAGAAACTAGTTGAAATTCCTACGTTGAATAATTATTTCTCTGATTTGAATAAAATAACAAAGATCTCTTCAGACGGGCCAGCAAAATCTTTTGCTTTCAAAAGGTTGCAATACTTAGAAGCGAAATGGAATATGTATTATCTTCTTAATGATTTCGAAGAAAACAAACATTCTAAGCGTAACCCACATCGTGATTTTTATAATGTTCGTAAAGTTGACACCCACATCCATCATTCCGCATGTATGAATCAAAAACATTTGTTACGGTTTATTAAGTACAAATTGAAAACTCAACCAAATGACCAAGTCATTTTTAGAGATGGGAGAATTTTGTCTTTGGCTCAAGTGTTTGAATCTTTAAAATTAAGCGCCTATGATTTATCCATCGATACCTTAGATATGCATGCTCATACTGATACATTCCATAGGTTCGATAAGTTTAACTTGAAGTATAATCCTATAGGAGAATCAAGATTAAGAGAAATTTTCTTGAAAACCGACAACTTTATTAATGGTAAATATTTAGCGGAGTTAACAAAACAGGTGATGGATGATCTTGAAAGCTCAAAGTACCAAATGAATGAATTAAGAATTTCAATCTATGGTAGATCTATCCATGAATGGGATAAGTTGGCAAGCTGGATTGTTGATAATAATTTATTTAGTCATAATGTTCGTTGGTTGATTCAAGTACCAAGATTGTACGATTTATACAAGAAGAATGGAAATGTTACTACTTTCCACGATATTTTAGTCAATTTGTTCAAACCATTATTTGAGGTGTCTATAGATCCTAAGAGTCATCCAAAATTGCATGTCTTCTTACAAAGAGTAGTTGGGTTTGATTCAGTTGATGATGAATCTAAACTGGAAAAGTCAATTCAATCCAGAAATTACCCTGTTGCAAGCAAGTGGGATTTACCAATTAATCCTCCATACTCATATTACTTGTATTATCTTTATGCAAATATTACTTCGCTCAATCAATTAAGGTTAAAAAATGGGTTCAACACTTTCTTGTTAAGACCACATTGCGGTGAAGCGGGAGATCCTGAGCATTTAATCAGCGCATTTTTGACGTCTCATTCAATTTCCCATGGTATCTTGTTAAGAAAAATTCCATTTATCCAATACTTATACTATTTAGATCAAATTGGTTTAGCAATGTCGCCATTATCAAACAATGCCTTATTCTTGACCTATGATAAGAATCCATTCTACAGCTTTTTCCAAAAGGGTATGAATGTTTCTTTATCTACTGACGACCCATTGCAATTTTCATATACCAAAGAACCATTGATCGAGGAATATTCTGTTGCTGCACAAATTTACAAGTTATCTGGAGTGGATATGTGTGAATTGGCTTGTAACTCAGTTAAACAATCTGGATGGGAAGTTGCAATCAAGAAACATTGGCTAGGCAAGAATTTTATCGTAGGAGGTATTGATGGTAATGATATTGAAAAGACCAACGTACCTGATATTAGAGTTGGCTATAGAGAAGAAACATTGAAGAGTGAGTTGGATTTAATAGATTATTATACAAGGTTAAAGAAAGCCTAATTATTTTTATAAATTTATTATGAACTATTATAAGCGCATTAATTGTAGCATTATATGCGATTAAAAGTCTTCTGAATGCGAAATTTTAAATACTTAGAAATGTGCAACTTCAATGTAGAATGATTCTAAGATACACATCCTCCTTTTATGACAAAAGAGAAGATGGTCAATTACACAACGGTAAAACTTAAAAGCCCTATTGCTGAGAAGAGAGACTTTTTCCCTGCTGTTTTAACCATTGCAGGATCAGATAGTTCAGGAGGTGCTGGTATTGAAGCCGATTTGAAGACGTTTAGTGCACATCAAGTATATGGTTTGACATGTATAACCGCATTAACTGGTCAAAATACCCAATGTGTTAAGTCATTTGAAGCAACACCTGAGTATCTTCTAAGAGACATATTAAAACTCAACTTTGATGATTTCTTGGAGGGATATGAGAAACCGGAAGATGCTCCATTGAAGGTCATTAAGACTGGCATGTTGACGAAAACAACAGTTGATGTATTAAAAGATCATCTAGATTATATTAGAAAAAGAGACGTTAAGATTATTGTAGATCCTGTTATGATAAGTACTTCAGGATCACAATTATTTGACGTAGATGGTATGAAAGATTGCGTCAACTCATTGATAAAGCAAGCCTATCTTGTGACGCCAAACTTCTTGGAAGCGAAACATTTACTTGAAATAACTACTGGTCAGAATGCTAAGATTGCAATTAAAGACTTAGAAGACTATATTAAGTTTGTGATCCAATTACAGAAGGTTTTGGGTTGTGAGAATATTCTTGTAAAGGGTGGACACATACCATGGGACCGTGTACAAAATAGACCTTATGAAGGAAATATAGATGGGAACAATAACCAAGTTTGTATTATCGATATCTTATATGAGTCAAAGAATGAATCAGTGAAGGTATTTGAATCCGAATTCTTGAATACAAAAGACACGCATGGGACTGGATGTACTTTACTGTCCTCAATTTCTGCCAACATTGCAAAAGGGTATCCGCTTCAAGAAGCGTTGCCATTATCAGTTCATTATGTCCAGAAAAGTATGATTAGCTTGAAGAAGAAATTAGGCCACGGCAATGGGCCATTGAACCATACAATTGTTCCTGATACAAGTATTAGCACTGTATGCGAACAAAGCGAACTGGACATTTCCCATTACTTATTGGATAGTTATGATTCTTTCTTAGATTATCTTAAGACTCACCCTAAGGTTAACGAAAATTGGAAAATGTATATACACCATCCATTCGTGAGCCAACTCGCTCAGAATAAATTGCATTTTGACAATTTCCTATATTATTTAAAACAGGATTACTACTATTTGATTAATTATGCGCAGATTCATGGGTTGGCTGCTTCTGTCTCGAATGATTACAGGCAGATTCATACTCAGTCCGTGATAATCGATGAGATTGTCAAAGAAATTGAACTTCATAGGCAAAAATTGATGAAGAATTACAACATTCATTACGATAGAGATTTTGAGTCGGATGCAGAATTATCTCCTGGTAAAGCTTGTGCTGCTTACTGTGATTATCTCTTAGAAGTAGGCAAAAAAGAGGATTTCTTAGGGATCAGAGTCGCCTTAGCTCCTTGTTTACATGGTTATGCTGAAGCTGGAGATATTGGTTTGAAAATAAGACAAGATCACGACAAGTCTTTGGGTGTTCTCAAATGCGAAGACCACGCCAAAGTGTACGATTCTTGGTTAGCAGACTATACATCCGATTGGTACCGCGATGCATACGAAAGGGGCAAAAGTTCTTTACAGTCTTTGCTTGAACATTATCCTCTTTCCCAAAGAAGATTGGATGAACTCGTTGAAATTTTCAATAAGGTGACCCTTTTAGAAATTGACTTCTGGAACGAGGTTCTTCCATAAAGCTACAAATGAGAAATTTTTGCGTAAAATAAACATGACACTTGTATAAAACTTTACATAGACGTCAAATTTACAAGATACATACCATGGACCACGTAGTATTCAAAGATTCGCTATCTTCTATAGACAAGATTGCAGCATCTCCTCCGTATAGGCTGTAAAATCACTTAAACTGTAAAATATGAAAATTGCAGGTTGGCGTCGAACAAAGACCACTGAACCTATTAACATAAATCAATGTTTTAAGCGGTGAAAGTAAATTATAGTAAGTTAATCAATTACTTGGCTGATGTATAATCCATATCAACAACAGCAGGCTGCTTATAATCCTCAGCAACAACAAACCGGTTTTGCTGGAGGATTTAATCAGCAACAGCAGTATGTACAGCCTCAGCAAACAGGATATTACAATCCAAATCAAGCCCCCTCATTGCCAAACCAAGCAACAGGGTTTTATCAACCTCAACAACAGGGAATGTTTAATGCATCGTCATTTCAAAACCAGCCTATTGGATTTGCGCAACAACCTCTGATTCAACCACAGCAGACTGGTTATATTCAAACACAACCTACTGGGTTCCAACAACCGGGGACGGACTCGGCGCCTACGGTGACGGAAAACAGTGAATTGAAGATCCCAAGTATGAGATTATCGTTTATTACTGCCTCAGATCAAAGCAAGTTCGAACATTTATTTAGAACTGCAGTTCCTAAGGGAGAACAAGCTATTAGCGGTGATTCGGCACGAGACATTTTATTGAGGTCTGGCTTGCAGCCTATAACCTTAGCTGAAATTTGGTCGTTGGCGGACACTAATAAGTCGGGTTCTTTGTTATTTCCGGAATTTGCGTTAGCTTTGCATTTATGTAACTTGTCATTGAAAGGGGATCCTTTGCCTACTATGTTACCAGAAAAATGGCTGAATGAAGTCAAAAGTTTTGTTGATGCCATAAGCTTTAGTGTACCTGAAAATCCAGCGAAGATCTTGTCGAATACACCGTTTGCTAGTTTTGGAGCAAGTAACAATACGACTAATAACGATTGGATGGCTCCACAGGCCACTGGATTCAATAACTCTGGTGCGGTTCCCTCCACATCATTCCAGGCTCAACCAACAGGATTCGGTGCGCCCCAGGAAATTATGGCTCAAAGAACTGGTAATCTCCCTCCTCAACCTCAAGCAACTGGTTTTGGAAGTAACAATGCGGCATCCTTATTGCCTCAAAGAACTGGGGGAGGTACGTTGATTCCATTGCAACCTCAACAAACTTCTAGTTTAATTCCTGCGCAGAAAACTGGACCTTTGCAACCTCAAACTACAGGATTTCAAACTCAGAATCCTCAGCAAACTGGCCCCGGTGCTTTACAACCCCAATCAACAGGATTTACACAAAGAATGAATAATGGTCCTTTACAAGCACAAACAACTGGATTTCAACAACAAACCACAGGGTTCCAACCGCAAACTACTGGGTTCCAACCACAATCGACTGGATTCCAACCACAATTGACTGGATTCCAACCTCAACAGACTGGCCCTCTACAGGCACAACCAACAGGCAAGCCCGGTCAGTGGGGTTTTGTTTCAACGCCGACAGGGGGAATCCCAGGGATGAATGCTATGGAACAACACTTTTTACCCTCTTCTCAATTACCTACTAATAACTTGCAAAATGCTATGGGTGGTTCATTGAAGACGAATGTGACTTGGGCAATCACGAAACAAGAAAAGCAAATTTATGACGGCGTTTTTTCTGCATGGGATAGTAGAAACAAAGGATTTATTGATGGAGAAGTTGCAATCAATATATTCGGAAAGTCTGGATTGGCTAGACCAGATTTGGAGTCTATCTGGAACCTTGCGGATACTAATAATCGAGGAAAATTAAACAAAGATGAATTTGCAGTTGCAATGCATCTTGTTTATAGAAGATTAAATGGCTTTGATCTACCATTGAGATTACCTCCAGAATTGGTGCCTCCTTCAACAAAGTATATCCAAGATTCTATGGATACTTTGAAAAATTCTTTGAAAAGTGGTTCTGCCAAATCTTCACCTCCAGTGAAACCTGGTAAGACAGATGGAAAAAGATATAAGAATGACGACTCCAATTTTGGGTATGTTTCTAATGTTCGTCACAGAAGAAAAAATGTGTCTAATAATGATTCATCAAACGGCGATCAAAAGCCTTCCCACAGTAGTGATTTAACAATAGCGGACTTGAAAAAATTAGTTCGTGAGAAGAAGATTTTATTAGACGCAGTGGATGCGGAAGATCAAGATTCGGCTATATCAAACAGACAAATGGAATCAAGAAATTATCAAGAGATAGATTCATTGAAGCAACAAATTAGAAAAATCCAATCTCAATTAAACGATAAGGTTTCTTCTGGTGGATCCATTGGAGAAAGGAAACAATTGATGGATAAATTGAATTACTTAACTCGTGATAAAGTCCCAGGTTTAATTTCTAAAATTCACCAAGTTAATAAAGATATAGCCACAAGTAAAGTTGAACTCTTTAAATTGAAGTTATCGAAGGAAAATCCAGACTGGCAGCCTGAAAATGCTGAAGCAGGAATTGTCGGTACTGGTATCAATGGCGAAGTTACAGATGCAGATAGACAGAAATTTAAATCCAAGCAATTATTAAAACAAAGAATGGCTGCTTTGACTGGTAAGTCGCATGGAAGTGGTAACGAACTAGATGTAAAGTTGCAACAGGAAATGAAGAAAACAAGATCAGAAGGAGAAAACCAGTCTGGAATGATAAATGATATTGAAGCTAGTATTAAAGATTTGGAAGATGGATGTGCTGCTAATTTGCAAGTTACTAACAAGGAAGAAGTAGGCACAGATAAATGGGAAAATGGAAATAATTTGAATGAAGAAGTTGCAAAATTCGTAAGAGAATTGAATTCTTCCAAACCAAGCCTACAATCTAATTCGCAAGTAACTTCTACTCTTAGCCAGGGACAATCCCAAACTCAACCTCAATCTAAAAATGTTGAGGAGGGTATTGTTTCACCGCAAGTAACTGGTGCCAGTGATAGTTCTACCGCTAGTCATGAGTATAGAACTCCTGAAGAGAGATCGGCTTATATTAAAGCACAAGCTGAGAAGAGAATGAATGAAAGGTTGGCTAAATTAGGTCTCACAAGGCACAAGACGTCAGGTTCCAGTTCCACAATCGAGCAACAAACACAGAACAAGACGACATCGCTAAATGCCAAGTCTGAAACTTCTAACAATGCCGAAAGAAAGCTTGAACAGCAACCAGAACATCAACAACAGCCTCCACCACAACAACAGCAATCACACCAAGAAGCTCAATTACAAGATAAAGGTACAAATGAACGTGATTCTTCAAGGCAAATAGATCAAAAACCTACCCAAATAATGGATAATGAGTCTGATGATGATAATGAGGAGTATGAAGCTTTGATGAAAAAGAAAGAAGAGATGGAAGCTCGTGAACGCGAGCGTAAATTGAAGAAGAAACAAGAAAAAGAGGCAAGATTAGAGAAATTAAAAATGGAAATGGAAGAATTGAAGAAGAAGGAAGAAGCGGGCGATTCTAGTGATGATGAAGAGCCAATAACAGAAGTTGCTTCATATGGCCCAAGTAGGTCTGTTTCACAGAATAATACTGCGAAGTCTATTGAACAACCAATTGTCGAGGAGAAGACAGATGAAGAACACATCGCTGCTCCTGTTGTACAAGCTGAAAATTCTGTACCAAAAACACATGATAATAACCCTTTCGCAAGAATTCAGAATAATAGTAGTACTTCGGGCAGCAATAATGGGTCTAAGGACAACCTTTTTTTTAAACCCGAGAAAGAAGTTAAGTTAGATCCAAAGAAAGCAGCTGCTCAGAGAGCATCACAAAGAGGATTAGGTGACATTAATGATTGGAGTGATGAAGAAGAGCATTCAAGTGAAGATGAAGGACCTAATAGGGCAGGAGCTGCTCAATTAGCAAGTTTGTTATTCGGAGGTATGTCCCAACCAGTACCAAAATCTAGTACTGTCACGCCTAATCAAGAATTTCACGATGCTGAAGATATTCCTCACTTTGATTCACAAGAATCCAATGAAACTAATTACCAAGAATATACAAATCAATCTAACAATATCATTCAGGAAAATCCTGACGCAGTTGACTCGACACCTGAAGCCCAAGTAAAGTCAATTCCAATGGAAGCACCACCTTCACCAGATGACTTTATCTCGCCTCCTTCACCACCTGCTAATATCCCACCGTTGCCAAATACATCGGCACCACCTCCACCACCTCCACCTCCACCTCCTCCTATGGATGCACCACCAATGCCAAGCTCTTCGGCGCCACCACCTCCTCCACCTCCTCCAGGAGCAGCTCCTCCTTTGCCTAATGCATCGGTACCTCCACCTCCTCCAGGTGCGCCTCCATTACCAAGTGATTCATCGTCATCATCAGCTCCCAAACAAGCACCTCCAATAGGAGGTAATGTTGATATTGGTGCTTTGTTAGGACAGATAAAGACTGGATCAAGCTTAAAGAAGGTTGATGAAAACGAAAAGCATATTGCAGATGGAGCTGTTGTTGGTAGAGTATTATGAGCTCATTTTTTGTTACAAGTTTTGACATTTTTATATTATTTTTGGATTGTTTTTTATTTAGTTAGTTACACTTGTTAGAAGTATATCATTAAAGATATTAGATTTTTTAAACTATTTGAATATATGTAGTTAAGTAGCAAAAATTCTACAATTTCAAGTCATTATTACTGTTCATTACTTTAATATCATAAACCTATTTACAAATTCAATAAAAAATTATACTATTAGCGTTGTATCAGGAATGCTCGTCTTCGTGATTTGGTGTAACATAGATTTCATCGTCTTTTAAATCAACAAGGATCGTCTCACCTTCTCTGATTTGTCCTTTTATCATCAATTTGGAAAGAGGGTTCAAGACCTTCTTTTGCAAAACCCTATTCAAAGGCCTTGCGCCATACACCGGGTCATAACCTAATTCGCAAAGCTTATCTTTGGATTCACTAGATAAAGACAAATTGATTCTTCTATCAGACAATCTTTCATCGATTTCTTTCAAACGGATAGTCAAGATATTTTTCAAAGATTGTTTAGACAATCTGTTGAAAATTAAGACATCATCGAGACGATTTAAGAATTCAGGAGGATAGTAATGCTTTAACATGTCACTAACTTGCGTTTTAGTAACTTCACTAATATGGCCATCATCGCTTGTATCCTTATCAGCTAGTAATATCTCTTGACCAATATTTGACGTCATAACTATTATGGTATTACGGAAATCAATATGCTTACCATGGGAATCAGTTAACGAACCCTCATCAAGGACTTGTAATAATAATTTGGATACATCATTGTGTGCTTTCTCAAACTCATCAAACAATATAACTGAATATGGCTTTCTTCTTACTGCCTCCGTTAACTCACCACTTTCTTCATAACCGACATAACCAGGAGGGGATCCGATTAATCTAGAAATAGTATGTTTTTCTTGGAATTCTGACATATCAAACCTAATGACTGACGATTTGTCATTAAATAAAAATTCTGCCAAAGACTTCGTTAATTCTGTCTTACCAGTACCAGTTGGTCCCAAGAATATGAATGAAGCAATCGGTCTCTTGTCACTGGTTAAACCTGCTCTCTGCAATCTCACAGCATCAGCAACTGCATTTATTGCTTCATCCTGGCCAATGACTTTATCCTTTAATGTCGCTTCCATATCCAATAACTTATCCTTCTCACCTTTCATTAAATTGCTCAATGGAATGCCTGTCATTTTAGAGATCACATTTGCAATGTCATCAGAAGTAACAGAATCATGCAATAATGTAGATTCTTCAACAGATTTTTCATTATCAGTTAATTCCTTCAATTGTTCCTCTAATTTGGGTATGGTGGCATATTGCAATTCAGAAGCCTTACCATAATTGCCTTCTCTTTGGCATTGTTCTAAATCAAATTTAGCTTGTTCCAAATCAGTTTTTGCATTCTTGACTTCATCTATCAGCTTTTTCTCTGATTCCCACTTTTCAGTAAACTCTTTCAATTCAGCACTTTTAACATTCAATTCTTCTTCCAATTTAGTCTTACGATCTAGCGATAACTGGTCGTCTTCTTTTCTCAAGGATTCTAATTCAATTTGAATAGTCATAATTTGACGGTCCAACTGAGCAATCGCATCCGGCTTAGATTCATGCTGCAATCTCAACGTTGAGCATGCTTCGTCAACTAAGTCAATTGCCTTATCGGGCAAAAAACGGTCAGTTATATAACGACTCGAATAGAGTGCCGAGGTCACTAATGCACCATCAGTGATACGGACACCGTGATGTACCTCATACCGTTCCTTCAAACCACGTAATATAGAAATAGTGTCTTGAACCGTTGGTTCGTTAACAGTAACAGCAGAAAATCTTCTTGCAAGAGCTGCATCCTTTTCAACATACTTGCGGTATTCTTCAATAGTTGTTGCACCACAAAGAGAAAGTTTTCCCCTTGCCAAAGCCGGTTTCAATAAGTTTGATGCATCAATCGAACCTTCAGCCTTACCTAACCCCATTAAAATATGCAATTCATCTATGAATAATATGACTTTCCCTTGTTTTTCTTCAACTTCTTTCAATATTTGCTTTAATTTGCCTTCAAAATCGCCTCTATACTTGGCACCTGCAATGATACCGGATAAGTCTAACGTAATTATCTGTTTATCTTTCATACTGTCTGGAACTTCATTCTTCAATATTCTCTGTGCTAAACCTTCCATTACAGCTGTCTTACCCGTACCAGCATTACCAATCAACACAGGATTATTCTTACTTCTTCTTGATAAAATTTGAACTGTCCGACGTATTTCTTCATCACGGCCAATCACTGGATCTAGTTTACCATCCTTAGCCAATTGAGTTAAATCGGTACCATATTTCTCCAATGCCGGCCTATTATCTTGACCTTCCTGATCCATAGACATCTGGAGTTTTCTAATACCACTTGAATGCATAAATTTAACATGATTCAACCCAAAGCTATTCTGTTTATATTTCATTCCTTGAAGTCCATTTTTCATACCAAAATTCAGTTTCAGTTGTATACCAGGTACATGAATTTGTCTGGTACTTAGAGAACTGAGCGTATTAATATTCCGTGACGCTTGAGAAATGGTTCTACTTTTAACATTCTGAATGTTTAATTTCGTACGTAACATCACACCTTTTCTATTTACAGGTACCTTCCTTAGTTCGCCACTTATTATGGAATTGCATCTTTTATAAACCCTACTATATATCTTTATCGGTCATGTCCTCGAATTTTCGAGAATAATCTGGAACCTTTTATATACAGGAAATATTAAATTAAGTATACCGATTATATTACTTTTCGTCAGGCCAATAATCATTATGACTGAAGCCAGGGAGTGGCACGAAAGGTGGTGGGTTGTTTTGCGAATGTTCGAGTCGCTGATCTGTATTTGAAGAAGTGGTATTATGTTCGTCATCTGAGAATTGGTAGTCGTCAATATAAACATCTTCATAGCTACCAGAGCTTTGATTTGAGTGAATATCGATAATATCTTCATCCTGCGCTGAAAGGATGTTATTATGCTCGGAATTGTGTGTAGCGATCACATTAATAACGTTTGTATTTGGCAGATGCAGTGCTTGGGCGTCAGCAACATCCATATTCTGGTGCTGCATAAGATCAGATTCATGACTTCGAGTCGATTCTAAGGCATCCTTATTGTTCACCTCCTCTGCATATTCCATGTGGTCGAAATACTTGTTTCGGAAGACCTTTTTCATTAAAAAGTTTATGAATTGCTTAGGTTTGTCCGGTTTTTCGGGTTGTTCGTTGTGGCCATACAGGTTGAAGCTAATCACATCGTTCAAACTTATTCTTCTCCCAAGCATGCCCATTATCTCATATCTCTTCTCCAAAAATTCGATGCCGTAAACCCATTCCCATATTGCAGTTAGTAATCCAATTTCTATCAAGTACGCAATTAGAATTAACCACGACCTCACTTGCCAATCTTTTAGGAACAAACTCATCGAAAGAATATTGATCACAATATGGATAACAAACAACGATAGAGAAGATATCGCTAATGGCAATAGCTTCTTCGAGTAGCATATTTTTCTAGGATTTTTGATAATCGTAGTGTAATAAAGTATCGATGCTGCAAACCATATCACTATTAGAAGTTTTAAAATAAAGATTGCTAATCTCCATCTCTGATATGGAGAATCAAATGTGACATTGAATATTAAGTCATCATTATTGTACCTCGCCTCGTAGATGGAATGTATCACTGTGTATGTCACCATTAATATTAGGTTTACAAGCATGCTATACCACTTAAATTTCAACTTCGATACATGGACAACAATTTGTAGCCAAGCCAAATTGGTGAAAAATTGGGAAAAAACCACCATTACTCTATAAGAATAACTCGCGTATACCAGATTGTGAAGCTCTATTAAATTCAACGAATCAGCGTAGTATTGCATTTTACTTTCATCAGTAATATAGCTTAAAATTACTGTGGCCAAAATGGAATAAAAGACCGTAGCAAGCTGAGTAAGCCACGGCTTTCTCTTATGTTTTGGCGATAAGTACATCAATAATGTTAACATCCAACACGAAACACATGCTCCACTAATAGTAAATAACAAAGCGACAAAAGCATCACCATTATCGGTCTTGTCATACGTATGATAGCGTTGACCATATTCCAATTTGGTTAAATTAGATGAATGCAAATTATCAAGTAATGATATGTTCGTCAAGTCTGCCTTACTGCAATTGGTTAGGTAGTATGCTGGGAGGAAATATTTAGTATAATTTTGGGACCATGAATGATTATGAAAATCTTGAAATACAATAGTCCCCGAGGTTAATGCATATATAGAACAATTCTCAGATATTGAATTTCTTAAGTGTCGTATATCTATCGACATTATTTACCATGACTGTCTTCTAAGCTAGTTCTACTTTAGACTAAACGGCTGTCTATACCCACCAGCCTAAATATCTGACTAAAAAATGTATTGCGACATTATTGGAGAGAGACATTTCATGCGACATTTCATGATACAAAAAATTTGAAATATACCCTAGTGATTTGTTAGTGTTCTATAATCAAGGTTGACGGACCCAAGTAATATACAATGGCATACGTACCTCCAGCAACAGGAGAATATCCTTATGAGGGAAATGGAGCCGTTTCGCAGCAACAACTGGAACTTGCCTCCAACTTACAAAATTTGTCGCTTAACAACAATACATCCAAATCGAAGAAAAAGAGAAGCGCCAGAGCGTACCACACCGAATTCAATTCACCAGACGTTACTCAACCTTCAACGCCTTTCCAGCCACAACATCAATCGTTTTCACAACCCCAGCTTCATACTGATGCAGCTCCTCTGCCTTACTCGGGACAGATGCACGCAGGTCTGATGCAAGCGTTTTCAGCGCCTGATCCAGTACAAATGCAGAGTGAACAGCAAAACCTCTCATTAGCAAGTGCACGATATCATCATCAACGTGAATTTATGACTCCTGTTAGTGAAGAAGATGGCTCGTATAAATCGTTTTTTACGTTTCAGAATATTGTGCCGCCAACAGCAGGTACGCAATACCATGCTGTTGATCAGGGAACTTCGTCTTCAAAATTTATGAGATCGTCGATGTATAATGTTCCAGAGACAGAGCAGTTAAGAAATGCCACGAAATTGCCACTTTCCGTTACCATAAGACCTTTTGCACCCTTGTTAGCCACCGAAGAACCGATCCCTGTTGTTGACATGCAAAATTTGGGATTTTCGACTGAAGCTGATCCGTTGGACGTTGGCCCACCTAGGTGTCGTCGTTGTAGAACTTATATGAATCCAGCCATGCAACATACTACCCATAACAGATTCGTATGTAACATTTGCCAATTCCCAAATAACACTATTCCAGATGATTACATTTCTATGGTTAATCCAATTACAGGTGCAAGAACTGATGCGAACGTAAGACCTGAGTTACATAAAGGTGTTTATGATATTATTGTTCCGAAAGAGTATAACGTGGGTGGTGCTGATACAATTAACCACGAATTGCATCATGTATTCTTGATTGATATCAGTGAACAAAGTGTTAGACAGCACTTGCCTGTTTTAATTGCTGATACCATCAGAGCAACTTTATACAGCCTGGACTATGATGAGCAGCCAGATACAACGGATCCAAATGAACCTCAAAGGAGGACTATTCCAGGTAAATTTGCCATTATCACCTTCGATAAAAGATTACAATTCTATAACTTGGCTCCATCTCTTGACTCTACACAGCTATCTATATCTTCTGATCTCGAAGATCCATTTGTTCCATTTAGTGAAGGTTTATTTGCTGATCCCGAAGAAAGTAGAATATGCATTGAGGACGCCTTAAATAATTTGGAGCTGTTAAGCAGTAATGAGAACGTCATTGCAGACCCAGAACCATGTTTTGCAGCAGCTGTTCGTACAGCTATGTTGTGTCTTGAATCTGTCGGAGGGGGTAAAATCACATCAGTTCTCTCCAATTTGCCGTCTTGGGGTCCTGGTAGTTTAACCTACAAAGACAGAAAGAATGTTGGACGCTCCCCTACACCAGAACAAGAAAAAGCCGTATATAATCCTGACAATGAATATTACCAATTGCTAGCAAAGGATATGATTTCTAAAAACGTCGGTTTAGAATGTCTCGTCGTATCTCCTACTGCAGTGGACTTATCAAATATTGGTTGGTTGTGCTCAGTGAGCGGTGGTTCTGTTTACAAGTGGTCAAACTTTAATTTTGAAAGAGATAGCAGATCATTCACAGCAAAATTTATTAATTCAGTGAGAAAGTCTAGAGGCTACCAAGGCCAATTAAAATTGCGTTGCTCTAATGGATTACAAGTCACTCAGTATTACGGAACTTCATCAGCTGTTGCGGAGGCTTCAGTAGTAGGAGCTGGTACCCAAGATCCTATCATTCCAGTTCTCAATGAAGACCAAACATTTACAGTATTATTACAATATGATGGTAAATTGAACACAAAATATGATTGTCATTTTCAAGCAGGTTTATTATATACTGATCCTTCCGGTATTAGAAAAGTTAGAGTTATTAACTTGGTTTTGGCAGTTAGTGAAACCTTAGATGATGTCTTTAACTTTGTTGAGCAAGATTCTGTTGTCACAACAATAGTTAGAGATACATTGTCATTTGTTGGAAAGCAAACTTTACACGAACTTCGTGAATCGGTAAATGAAAAATTAGTGGAAGTTTTTACTCAGTATAGAGCTATGAGTGAATTGGGACATAATAGGCATCGAACATTAACGAACCAATTGTTATTTCCAGACTCATTGAAGCATTTACCTATGTATATGCTCGCATTTATTAAATCAAAAACTCTAAGAGATTCTACATCTTTAACCGCTGATACTAGGTTGGCTGATATATTCCAATGCTTAAACATGCCAGTTGAACGATTAATGTATCATTTATGTCCTGCTTTGGTTGAACTTCATACATTAGAACAAGATGATTGTATGGTACCAGATGAGGGTACTGAGAACCCGGACTATTTTATAAAGTTACCTCAGTATAAAGATTTGTCCTATAACCAGCTAGATGGTGGAGTCTACATTTTATGTAATGGTTTAGATATTTTTGTTTGGATTCATCCAAATGCAAATATTCTTCTTATTAAAGACTTATTTGGTGAGGATATTGATTCCGTTAACCAAATTAATCCTCTAATTGACGAGATCCCAGACTTGCCGACTCATATATCACAACAAGCTCGTAACTTAGTTAGGTTTTTCCAATCTGAAATAACTGGATCATCTGCAATTGGAAGTGCAGGTATCCAAATTGTTAGACAAGGCATAGATGGTGCGGAGGTATTATTCAAAGACTGTTTGATTGAAGATAACTTAAAGGGGGCTCTTGCTGCGAATGCTGGGGCTGCCTACCCAGAATATTTATCTAATTTGCACAAGGCAATTAGAGTTAAGTTAGAAAACGATAAATCCTCTAATCGTGTTAGACAGTCTGTCAGTACGGTCGACCATCATCAAGATACCTTAGCTCAAAGATTAATTCACTTTTAATCTCAAAATTTGATATATATATAGTAAGTACTCAAAATACCATTAATATCTATTATTATATTATTTAAAATTAACTAATTTAATTATTTCAATTATCATTCCTAAAATTTCCTTATTTTTATTCGAGCGCAAAGCCAAACCTAGAGATTCCTTTAATCTTCTATTTTCCCTAAATTCGTCTAAATGTTTGGCGTCCAAGCTTGATGCAGAATATACTAAGTTTAATAATATATAACTTGCTCTCAATAATAAATCATTATTCGAATTTTGATTCTCAAAAATATTTATTAATATAGACAACAAATGTTCATTTAAGGTGGCATTCCGAACTAATATTTGGGAAATCATTTCAAACTCAGAGGTGGCATTAGCTAGTAGACCACCAATTACTATTTGAAACAGTTCATCCGTTGAATTCAAAAGCCTAATTAACAACTGTAGCCTTTTTAAGTTTTCTTGTTTCTCTATATTAAAAAATTTGACTAATAAAGTCGGCTCTGTTATTAAATTAGAAATTAATTCCCAAGCAGCTTTCTGGATTTGCGGCAAATCAGAATCTATAATAAAATTGTCCAAATACTTATCGAAAGTTTTCGATATTATTAACTGTCTCAATTCGTTTATTGTATTGCTGGCATGAACAGCCGAGACATTTGTTAATGCAAGTAATGATTCATATTTATCCAAATTGCTAACACCGTCATATAGATATTTTTCATCTCCAACATCCTCGAGTGACCCAGTGTACTGAGAGATATCGGGCCCTAGCAATTCTATCAAAAAAGGTAAGCAAGTTTTAATATCATATTTATTAAAGGCTAGGGCAGGATTAACTGAAATCAAAATCCTTGCTAAGGACCTCAAAGCCAAAAGTCTAGCCTCAACTAGTTCATCCTTTAAGCTACTTGGTCTCGTCTCATTTCCCAATTTTTTCTTTACAACACTATTTTTAATAAGGTAATCTAAGACGATATTCAATGCACCTTGTTTAATAAGCTCCTGTCTTGTAGATTTGTCTTGATTTGAAGATATCATAGAAATTATTGTAATGACTTGAGATATTATATTATCATTATTATGACCTGCAGAATCTTGGGATTTATAAACTTTTATTTTAGACATGACCTCTACAATTTTGTAGTTACTTAATAAGGAGCGACTGAAATTGTAGATGCTTTCCTGATTTTCATCTTCGCTGTTAATTGTATTATTAGGTGTTGCAAAGCTTTTTAGATAGTTGGTTGTTTTCTTTTGAGAATTAGCAGTAACATCTTTTAATTTTGTTAAATTCGATAGGATTAACAAAAGCCCATAAACCAACGAAGAATGAGTCAGTAAATTTTTATCATTTATTTCTGTTTTCTTTTTCAATATAATTAGTATACTTTCTATCGAGTTTTCGTCATTTCTTAATTTCTGCTTGATAGATGTATTCAAACTTAAATAAGCTAAACCCTCAATACAATACTCTAGATATGCTTCGTTCTCCTTAGATTCAGAGGATCTCAAATAATTTATCAAAATGTCTGATAGATCAGACATGTTTATACTTGAATCTTTTTTCAGATCTTTTTCCAATTGGATAAAATTCCAGAGCTTTATAATACCTAATGACGATAAAAGTCTTATCCCTAAAACATTTTCACCCTGTAACTTAGTACCAATTTTCAACAACTCAAGATAGTTATTATAGTTAAATAAACGGCATTGCTCATTTATACACGAGCTGCTGACAAGTTTTAATATTTCAGTCGTAATAAGCTGATTACTCGTATACTCTAACGATGAGGAAGACATTTTTGAAACTTGAAATAATATTATCCCTTTGCAACTGTCACCCATATATATAGTATGTGATATCGAAGGCACAATAGGGAAAAGAGATTCCAAGGATTTTACTAAATTCAAAAAACTAGCCATTGATATTTTATCCGGCTCGTTATCAACCAATATCTCTAGGTAGCTCGATATTACTTCAGTAGTATTTTTAACCAGCAATTCTAAATTCTTTATAATAATAAGTAGTACCAAAGAATACACTTCGTGTGCCTTTTCCTCGTTACTTTGGTTATAAAATGGATTTAAATACTGAAGTATTAACGATACATGTTGAGGATTCGACAAATTAAAGTTTGAAATTATGGCAAAGTATAGGGATAAGTAAAATACTCTATTGTCCAAGCTGTCATTCTTTTTGAGTACACTCTGAATTAGGCTCAATGTCTTTAGAATTATTTTCTCTAAGTCTTCATTCGCAACATTAGACTTAATGGTATTGATATAAATAATTCCTCTCGAATCTTCCATGACCTGCAACCCAAGCAAAAACTTCAGCGTATCCTCGTCTATAATTTTGTAAAGATTATCTGATAATTTAGGTATTTGGGAACATTTTAGGAGGATTTCATAAGTCTTTCTTAAATCTTTAACATCTGTTGAATCACCTTGTAATACTTTTTTTGCTTCATCAAATTCATTTTCTCTAATTGAAAGTTCACTAAGAAGTTGAACTAAGTCTTCCGATGCCATTATCGGACATTAACTAATAGTATTCGTTTAGTAATCAGTTGATCTATAATGATTTCGATTCACCTACCAAAAAGTTTCCACTTTGATATTGGACCGCACACAACCCAAGTAAATCCATCAACAAATATATTATCAGCTTAGAAATCGATCAAAACAACCGTGTAGGGCATAAATAGCTTTAGCAATAAGATGGATACGACGACTGTGTTAGATAAATACACACAAGATCTATCTAATTTGCCGTTGGAAGTGAAGCATCTATTACAAGAGTTGAAAAATAAAGATGTACAGTTGCAAGAGGCGAGAAAGAGATATCAAACAAAAGACAATCAAATACATAAATTTATACGAGCAAATGGAACTCTAACGAAGCATCCAAAGGAACAACAGATATATAATAGGATAGAAGAGGATATGTTGTTGGTTAAAAAATTGCAAAAGGAAAAAATATTACTAGCCAATACTGCGTTGTTTTTGGTATCCAAGCATTTGTCAAACTTCGAAACGGATATAGCCAAATTGGAGAGAGATGAATTATTACCTCCTGTCGATAATGTGATGGAACTAGATACTCCGTCATCAGATATGAACAGTGTCATCAATGGATTAAGTGATAATCTTTCTGGCACAACAACTCCTAGAGGGCATTCGGCATCTACACCGGTGACAGATAGTACAGCAAATAACATGCTCAGAAAAGCACAAAAGAGGAAGCATACGCTTGGTATGAAGGGAGCGAGTGGGTTAACGAGACCGTCGAAGAGGATGAAGTCGGAAGATTTCGAGGACAAGAAATATGATACTGACTCGTTATCTAGACCTAGCGAAGGGCCAGGCAACAATGGCGAGGACGCTGATAACAATCTATACTGTTTCTGTCAACGAGTCTCGTTTGGAGAAATGATTGGATGTGATAATGACGACTGCAAATTCGAGTGGTTCCACTGGAGCTGTGTCGGTATCACTGCACCACCCAAAGACGACGAAATTTGGTACTGCCCAGACTGTGCTCCAAAAATGGAGAAGAGAAAGAAGAAGAGAAAGTAGCTTTTTCCCCAGTTTTCCGGTTCTATCTAATTTACCAACATGTGTTAGAAATATCCTCTAGTTCAGGGACTGTTCCTGATTTATCTGCACACTGCATCAGAATAATCCATCCGATGGATAATACAGCAACTCAAGCATTAAATAACACCCTCACATTTTTTTGAAGTCTACTGCCACTGTGTTGAATGCTGTCGACTCTAAACTCTACAGCACCTACACGAGTTTCCTAAAGCATTCGAAGGTTATAAGGAAGGTTGAATTCGTAAACAATTATGCTTAACAATAACATGCAAATAGTTACTTAGACCTGTAAATTAGTTAAAACAATCCCTTCCATAGATCACTAATTTGGCTGAGTTTAGTTGCCTGTATATGTTGTAATAGCTCATATCCATATTCTATTGTTTCGAATTGGAATAGGGCGAAAACGAGATTTTGAGCACAATTCGCGTTGTTTTCCAATGTCAAAAGAATAGCTATATATATAGATAATAATTTAAGTTATATTAGAAAGTATTAGCAGTTTGTTATATCTAATAGACACAAAGCAATACTTTAGAAACACATTTAGAAGTTTAACATTCGCTGAATTATTGAAATCTTTATATTTTATTCAAGAACCTTTATATTTTCCAATAAGTTTTAAGAGAGGCTATGAAGTACGCTTACACATTATTGTCGATTTTTGCATTCAATACAGCATTAACGATGGGAGCCATGGGTGGTAATGTTGGTGGTGGTGCAGCTGGAGGAAATGCTCCACCTACTACTACTACTGCGGCAAATCCAATACCTGCTGGAGCCCAGACTGACACCACTGCTACCACTGCTGCAGCTGATGCTGATACTACTCCAGCAGCTGGAGCTGATACTGCAACCACCAAGACTGGTACTACTGACACAGCCAAGACTGGAACTACTGATACAGCCAAGACTGGTACTACTGATACAGCCAAGACTGGTACTACTGATACCGCAACCACCAAAACTGGAGCTACTACCCCAGCAGGTGCTGCGGGCGCTGAATCGGCCACTGATACCAAGGCTACGACAGCAACTACTCCAGCAGGTGCTGCTGCCACTGCTGCGACTGCTTCTGACGATGATACTGCTACTGCTGCTGCTGCTGGAGATGAAGCAACTGAAGCCCCAACAAGTGCCAGTTTCGTTTCCCATAGAGTTCTCCGTTCTACTGCTTCAAGCACAAAACAAAGTGAACCTACCAATTCTGGTTCCGGTTCTGGTTCTGGTTCTAGTTCGAGCTCCAGCTCTAGTTCTGGTTCTTCTGATTCTGGTGCAGGTTCCGTGAAGTTGAATAAATGCAACTTTTTTATAGGCTTAAGTTTAGCCATGTTCTTTGGGAGTGGTTTGACTATCTTAGCTTGAATACCCTAGCTCAAGTTTGATTTTGGTTCTGTTATGTAAATTGTATAGTTTTCATCAAACATATTTGTTTTGTGTAATTTAATGTTTTTTCACTATTTTTTAAGATCGTTAAAATAGGATTTAGTTAGAATTAACTTAGGTTATTTGGGATTATGTTCAGGAAGGTTTTGAGTAGAAGAGGGATATTAAAAATTCAGAAGGTGACAAATAACAGGAACTTGCACCAGAGCTTAAGAGTTTTGAATGCTAACCCTTTTTTATACACCAATGATTTTTCTGCCTTAGAATCTAAAATTGATAAGCATTTGTTAAAGAACGATGAAATGGTATCACAAGAAACCGTGGTGGACGCTATTAAGGCATGCCAAAATGTACAGCAATCTATTCATGATTATGATAAATTTTGGGAGGACCCAACCAATATTAAAATTAAAGATAAAATCCAGGAAATCTTAAGTAATGAAAAAGTGGGATTTAATAAAGAATTATTGACTAAAGTTTTCTTGTTGAAGCTTCCTATTGCCACATACGTACAGATTATCGAAACTTTTTATAAGAGGAACCCTAAGGCATATATTGATAAGTCGATCGCGTTGATACCATTTCGTTATTGTTTATTCAACGGTGACCTAAAGAATGCATTGAAGATAACTGACATGACGACAGGGCATAAAAACTACGTGGACCAGAAAAATAAACAGCTTAGATCTGGTGTTCTTAAATTTGCCAGTTCTGCCATAGGTATTACACTTTTCTCCAAGGTTGGGGTTCAAGAAATAATTGAATTGGGATATTTGTCGGACCGTTGGAGACATTTGAGTTCGATAAACGCCATGATTTTGACATACTTCTTGAATTCCTCGTTTTTTGTTACAATTGTCAGGTTTGGAAGACAATTGATTGCAGGAGGAGGAAATTATTTGACTTGGCAAAAGGGAACTTTCTATACACATTGGTTTAGGCATGCGGATGAATTATCAATGTGTACCAAGATAGTTGAGGCTGATCTTGCATTGAATGGAGGAGGACCATCAGGTGGGGAATCTAGCCCTGAATTAATAGAAGAATTATGCCGTACTGAAGACGAGCTCTATGATACACATACATTACAACCGGGCTATACGAGAGACGGTAAAAAGATTAGATTAATGGAAGCCAAAGACAACCTAGATGATATCAAAATGCAAGCTTATTGGATGAGTGGTGGTGATGGGTTCGAATGGGTTGAACCTGATCAAGACCCAGCCGATTTAATTTGGAAGCAACACCTTGCTAAATTTGACAAGCCTATGTTAAATACCGATAATTCTACAAAAAACATAAAATGGGCTGAAGAATTAATTGAAGAAAAGTAGAATTGTACATTAACTTGTAAATATGTTATATTTATTATAAATTAATAACTCTTATATATGCGATTCATCAACTTCATTAACTAAGTTGGTTGTAGGTTTTGCAGGAACAGGTTCGGTGCTTAAAGCTTCAACGTCTTCGTCTTCACTCCATCTCCATCTTGGGACCAATCTAATGTCATAGTCAGTTTCCATTTTCAACTCATCCCATGGTTCAAAATTCAACCAAACCATTTCAAACTCCTCATCGGTATCTATTTTATGGTTTCCTAATTGGATATGAGGTTTTAAATATTCTTCGTTGTACTTTATTGACGATTTACCTTCCATAATTAGGTCAAGTCTTTCAGCCTTATTCAATTCATTCACATCCTTTAACAGTTCGTCTAATAACTTTTTATATCTCTTGATATTACTTTCATGTAAACTTTCGTAAATTTCTGAATACTTTCCCTTTCTAGATAAGCTGGATAAAAGAGGTGACTGGGAATGCTTACCTCGAGTGCCAGTCAATGATGATGCAGTATCGTCTTTCTCATGTTCTGCGTCAATTATATTTATCTGGTTCTTAAACCACTTGTCGATCTTTGCATACCATTCTTTATAATTCATAGGCTTGTAGTATCCAGTTGCCCCAAACCACCAACTAGGATTATCGCCATTCTTGATGGCCAATTTGCGGTAGAACTTCGCTTCGTCATACCATGGATCGTATGGCATAGCTAATCTGGACATTTCAATGCCCGACTGGTAAACCAAATACGATCCACCAATCGCACACAACCATTTGGTTGATCTTCTTTGCCATGTATTTTCCATATGAAACCTTGCCAAATTAGACCGTCTTAAATATCTCACTTTGTTAAAACTCAATAAACCGATACCAATTTGTAAACTGGTTAGAAAATATAACGCTGGTAAATTATCTGAAGCAGGAACTAATGGTCCCCATAATCTTAAACCTAAACTTGGATTTTGCGGTATGAATGATGCTGGATTTGGAATCGTAAGGGTATTATCACCACTTCCACCACTCTTCCCATTATCATTTCCTCCGCTGCCTGGTGGTATATATACACCCATTTTCACTTATGTATCCTTTCTGGGTATTAAACTTAGCCTACTAGTAGACTCCAATTCATAATCGAACGAGTATGTTCTTGCCGTTTACACGTGATCCATACCAAAACTGGAAATCGTAGCTTGGCTTCAACTAGGTCTACGAGTTACATAATAGCAATATTGATGTAAATATATTATTCTTAAGGCAGCCTCATAGGGAGGATGCAACGGAAAAAAGTATGAATGAGTCTAAGGAGAGATGCATAGACTTATAAAACAAACTGAGAAAATAAAAGTTCAATCATGACACTTCCAGCCAGTGCAAACACAGGATGAAAGTGGATCTTATAGCATGCCACTCTAAATGGCATGTATCTCTGTTAAATTATACCGTGTGGAACGCATATCTAATTTTCACCAGCATACAAATCTTCCTTTAAGTCAATACCTAATTCCTGTCTAATGTCTTTTAATTCTTCTAAGTAGGCTTCGTATTGTTCGTTGTTTTCAACCTTGTGCTTTAAAGCTTCAAAGGTCCTGACGGCGGTTGGGTAGTCATTAACCCTTCTACAAGCTTGTAAAGCCTTTTCGATAACAGCTGGTGCTGGGACTAAATCGTATGAAAAACAGTTGTTTAAAATTCTCTGGACTTCAAATAAATCGTAAGCTTCTTCAAATTCAGTTTCGTATCTAAAATGATGTTAGTAATGGTTCCTTACGGCTGTGGGCGTCGTTGAAGTCGTCACGACTAATTTTTCACTCAATTCGATGGCTGGGTAACGATTGCTATTTACCGAGCGTATCTTCGAATTGATGCCTAAAAAGGGTCATCTGAACTCCTCTTTCACTTGTGCTCCGATTATATACATACCTAGCGGTGAATTCTTCAAAAGTTTCTTCATGGTGGGATGAATAATTTCTCATGTGTGGAATTGAAATTCTGGTCATACCAACATTAGTTTTAACGACATTAGAAATTCTTGGAGTGGCAACTCTGGCCCTTAAAGCGGAACGGATGGTAGAGGCAAACATCGTCAATGTCAAATTTGATGAATCTAAACTATATACTAATTGACATCTCGTTAGAATTTATTATATCCACCGAGATGTTAATTGGATCATACGAGTCGTGTGGTGGTCAACTTCTACGGTCGAATCGTTATGATGAAATTTCCATGTTTCCGGTTACTAAATGTCACTCCCAGAGCTACGTGAGATATTATGCGGTTATAAAAGCGATGTAAGAATGTCTAATGGCCCAAAGACAGCGTAGTTATGGGTATTTGTATGTTTGGGAACTTCTTAGTACTGTTCGCTGCGTCGAACCAATTATATTTCACCAATTACTTATGTAAGCATACTCTACTACAATTTTTGTGGAGTGTATATAATTGATAGAAATGATTCGTTTTTTGCAATAATTACAATACTTAATAGAGTGTTAGATATGCAACGGAGGTGCCGTTTAGACAGTTGGAAGCTATTGGTAGTGTGGGATATTGTGGTTATGTTAGAGAGCTTTCGCGGGACGATATGGGTTTTGTAGATTAAACCTAAGGTGTTGCATCGAGTAGTCATATAGGTTTGTTGGTCATCTATGGTCTATGCAACATTTTAAGCTGACGTCATCTTAAATTGGTGCCATATTATGTGGATAGCATGCTAAGTAGGTCTTTCAAAATTCTGTTGTATTGCGTGTCTATAATTGCAAAGAGCCATCTCTGTGCTTGTTGAAGCGCTTCAGGACATTAAACTTCCTTTTGTCCTTCAGGATTCTTTTAGCTCTTGACGGGTCCTTGAGATTGACATTTATTGGCTTCCAGAATGGCAACTGTTTGATGTCCACCTTTAATTTTTTGGCACTGACCGCCTCGGGGAACTTGATTTTCAACTGCACCCACGACCGAGGACCCGAATTGTTTACCTTGAGCGTGTTCGATGGCTCCCTGATGAACATATACCCAAGACTGTTTCTCTTGTAGAACGTCGAACAGTAGTCTTCGTTATTGACATCGTTATTCTCCCGCAAGAAATAGTCACGGAACTTGGGATAGCGCCGTGTTTTTTTGGTGGCAGCAGGTAATTTGACCACGAGTTGGTTACTGGAAACCTCTCTAACCTTCTTCTCAGGATTCTTCGCTTGCCATACAAATGGCGGGTTATTCACCCTTGCCAGGTAAATGTTCTCGCGCGGACTTGTAGAAACCGTCTGCAGAGGATTCATTTGGTGATTATGTGGATACTCAGTGCTAAGCATTTCTCTAGCACCCATTCCGTCTACTTGTGGCGACCAATCGTGGCCCACAAACGGCGAAAACACCTGTCCGTTCTTCGGTTTGTCGCTCCAGATAGAATACGATCCATTCACACCCACCGTCAGCCCGAGACTCAACCCACCAATGTTAATATAGCTCGTATGACCTCCCACACCCGATCCAGTCCCCAATTCACCATCTAAAACACCACCCAATTCACCACCAAACCCTTTTCCCAATTCATCTCCCAAGTCGCTTAAATCGCCTAAATCGCCCAAAAATCCCACTCCGAGCCCTCCTGCGGGCCCTTGCAACTCTGTATCCGTATTTCCTATCCCAAAACCACTAAATTCACCATTATTTCCCCCTTTAAACCTTCTCTTCAAATCACCATCTATCCTATCGTCAATTGTCATCGTTGATCCCTGGAACCTGTTCGCATCTCCCGACGGAAAAAAATTGCTAGTTTTCCGTCCACTGCTCGGCGACATAAACACGCTATCTAACGACATCTAAACGTACCTCTAGTGGCCCGATCTACTGTAAAATTTAATATTCACTTCTATTCGTACTTTCAAAACCCCATACATCTACTGATGTTTTAAATGAGGTCGTTCATGAACCGGGTCTTCGATCCCGGTCGTGTTCGGGATAATTTTTCTTGTCGAGGCATCAACACAAATTTCATAACAACCCATTATTGCTTTGTAATACATTACCAAAAGGCACCTTACATAAGATAGACGATTTTGCAGCTAAGAATAACACCAGGATGAACACAAACTTCAGTGCCTGGACCAACGAGAAGGAAGGATCGACCACTGATCCTACGGAAGAACAAATTGACCCTACATTTGCTAGACACCAGGATACGGATTTTCCAACGGTTGAGGATGTGACGGCAGCAGCGGTGGCTAACGCACAGCAGGTTCCACACCAGCAACAGGGACACCAACAAGTGCACCCTCACCAACACCAGGTTATTCATCACCAGCATCCGCATCAACAACAGCACTCGCACCAGCAACAGCATCAACACCAGACTCACGAGGACCATATGAGGGCAGCACAGGCAGCAGCGGAGTTGCAGCAGGTACAACAGCACCAGCAGCATCAACACGCTCAGCATCAGCACCAACTAGCAGCAGCTGCCGCTGCTGCTAGCAATTTACAAGACTCGGACTCGAACGAAGGTGATGACAAGATGAAGATGTCGTCGGGAGGCAGTCCTAGGCCGTCAAGACCAGTTTCAGGTACCAAGAGAGCAGCACAGAATAGATCGGCCCAAAAAGCGTTCAGACAGCGTAAAGAAAAGTACATTAAAGATCTCGAGCAGCAGGCAGCCGAGGTCAATACCCTCAAGCAAACCATCGAGGAACTCAGAGCAGAAAATTTGCAATTGAGAGACTACACCTTGGCCTTACAGAGCAGAGTCATCGAGCTCTCACCCGCCAGCAGCCACCATCCACTTTCGACCACTTCCCAGCCTCCTACGAACCAATCGCACGATAGCTCTAACGTGGGGGTTCCTGCTCCCCCAGCAGCCGTGTTCAGTGGGAACAAGATGTTCAATAACGACAAATAGTTTGTCGTTTATGCTACGATGTTATATAATAAGACGTGTTGTATATGTTTTTGTAATTTTAGTTCCGTTTCATATTTCTTCGGCGTATGTTGTCGTTCTGCCTATTGGTACTCCCATAGTGCCTAATGTGACTCATGTAGAGCCTTACGCCCAGCGATACCGGCCAAACATTGAGCCCGATTTCCTGTATATAGATGAGATAATGGCACTTAATTAAAGGGCACCAAGTTGATAATAGCTGGGTTATTTCATATTTATATTAGCCAGTGTAAGGATTATTGGGATCAGGCTAGTTTATTTGTTGCTTATGAGTCGCCGCTGACATGGATAATACGGTAGAACTGTACCATGAGTTTTTAAATCTAATGGAATCGACAAATTACCATGATGACTTGATTACGATCACCGCAGAAGAGTCACCATTACCATATACCAATCTCCCACTTAACTTAAACTTGCATTTGAACATAAATTCGTACTACGACAAGTTGACTGGGACATGCGATTGTACGTTTGATTCGAAGCTGTATACTATATCAGAAGGGTACGAAGAGTGTCCTGGATTACTGCTGCATGTGGAAGAGAACAGAATGTGCACTAGCATAGAGCTTGATGTTGAGGAAAACGACGAACTACTCAGCGAAACAGAATGTGACAATCCAGTTGCTCCAGGATTATTTCCCACGATGAACGTCGATAACGAACTCCAATTTATGAAATTTGACAAGCTACCCATAGTTCCCTCGTATATTTCTAAGTAGACTACTGACAGGTCAGTATTTCTTTGATGATTATTTATTTAAACATATGTATTTATTAGTAAACTAAACTATCTGTAGCAACTATTGTAAAGCGATGCAAAGCGATGTAGATTTTTGGTGGTGCCATCCCAATAGATGGCCTTGCATTGTTACCGTATTAAATCCAAGCCGGTGCAAAAATTTGGTGTTCGGTTCCAAATAGCGCCTTTTTTGGTGAGTACAATAAAACGCAACGCCGTGCTACAAATTGCAAAAAGTCATATTTAAATCGTGAAAACATACAAGATTGGTTCCCTTGGTTCTTCCGTTTCTTCTGGTTCCTTTGGTTCTAGTTGGTGACTACTTGGAAACTGGGGCTAGTATAGAAATTAGCAGCGATTTGTTTATGGACGCATTAAAGATGCAGTTTTGTTCCTCGAGGTATTTCTACTTCAATAACAGTCCAGCCTCACAGTCTTTTTCCACCCATACTCCATCTAATGTCTTTCTTCTCTGACTTCCTAGTATGTGATAGACAAAGCACAACAGTAACTCTTATCACCATAAAGCTCTGCCAGGCAATAGTGAAAAAGTCCCATCACGTGAATTGATTCAAATGTTGGTTTATGCACGTCTATTTTTAAAATATTTCACTTCAGCGAATAAAAAAAATCGTAGACCTGGGTTTCAACCTGATTTAATTAGATTAATATATAAGTGATATGATTGGTAATCGTTTGGTCAGGTCAGTCAACTCAAGGAACGTGAGGTTGTTATCCAGTACTTCGTTCAGATCAGGAGTCTGGACCGAGTTTCAAAATAGACCATCGAGTTTGAAATTAATTGATTCCGAAACCTATGAAGACATATTCAATGGCATCAACCCAGAAAAAGGGCCAGCGTCTATTGCAAAGCCTCAAGAGCTGAGAGCATATCACTCGCCACTCCATATCGATGACACTTTCAAATTGGCATATAATGTTTTGGAAGCGGAAAGTGAAGATTACTATAAGCAAATTCAATCGTTGAAGGAAAAACTCAACAAAGTCCAAGATCAAAAGGAAATTGACTTGATAAAGAACCATATTGATAAATTATTGATTAAGGCTGAACGTCAAAACCCAGAAGTGTTATATAATATCGAATATTTCCAAGAGAAAATTGACAAGAATCAACCAGTTTACAGAGAATTCTTGAAAAGCAAATGGGAGTCTCACGACTTGATGGTATCAATGCAAAGATTAGAACAATTATGTGTGATTCCTGACACATTGCCTACTCTTGACCCAAAGGCCGAGGTAAAAGTAAAATTCTCTCATAACGTGGATCCTTCTTTCGCAGACTGGGTCACCCCAGGCGAAATATTGCCTACCTTTGCGGTGTCCCAGCCACCAACTATAGAGATTCAAGAATTCGACAGAATTGACACGGAAAAATTGTACTCCGTTATCGTCATAAATCCTGACACCCCTGATTTGACTACCAACTCATTCAAAACTACCTTGCAATATGGTTTATGCAATGTTCCATTAAATAATGTTGATAATATTATTAACCCTGCAAAATTATTAGCAAATGGTGATAAATACACTTTCAAAGAATACGAACCTTTGTTACCGGAAAAGAATGCACAAACTCAAAGAGCATGTCTCTGGGTATTCAGACAATCAGGACCATTATCCTTGAACAACATTTCCTGTGAGAAGTTTGATGTTAGAGAATTTACTTCTGAAAACAATTTAACGGCCGTTGGTGCCCATGTTTGGAGACAACATTTTGACAGAAGTGTCAATGATTTAAGATCTAAATTCGGTTTAAATAAAGGAAGAGTCTTCCATAGAGTTCGTAAACCACATCCGCTTGTTGGCCTTGCCAATTGATTCCATATATATATATATATATTGTAAATAGCCATGGTAATTAAAATAATTATTAGTATTTTTGTCACGTGAGTAAGTTCAACATTTGGTCTTCTCAGGTCAAATAGAGTAAGATATATATAAAGAATAACCCAATAACTGTATGAGAAAGGATGTCAGAAGAGTTAGATGCTAGAAGGAGAGAGTTATTGGATCTTAATACCAGAGCCTGGGATGGTGAAGATGTTTTTAAAACTAGTCCTAAACTAGACTCGTCTTTGAAAAAAAACACAACCTTCATAAAAAAAATTAGAACTATCAGCAGTGATCAATATCAAAACATATTAAAAGACATTACTACTGTTTCCTTAGAAAAGTATTTATCTGAAATAATTCTGTCCATTAGTGCAGGGTTACTTAAAGTCAGTAAAGGTGATGACATTTTGGCAGCGATGGAAGTTGTATCTGCCTTGCATCAAAGGTTTTCTACGAGTTTCACGCCATACTTATTCGCCAATTTTTTAAATGGATTAGCTAGTCCTACTAGACAGCCCGTTAATGAGCAGGAAAAAGAAAAAGAAGACCAATTAAGGATAGCAAGGCAAAAAAATTTAATTAAGCTTTTGATGGAATTTTATCTAATTGGTATTTTCAAAACTGTTAAAGATTGTGATCGTGAAAATTTGCCTGATTTCATAATCAAGAAGTATTCTAAAGCCCAAAATGAACCCATTGTGATCTTGGTTTTGAAAGATATATTGAATTTCGAAATTAAACTGGGAAATTCGTTGCCAATTTCCCAAGTTTTTTTAAAGCGCTTCAGTCACTTAATTTATGATAAGGAAAATTGTTTACTTTCTTTTGAAACTAGGAATATATTACAACAGATCTTTAAAATATATACGCTGGCAATACTAGAAATATTGGTGCAATTAAATACGAAATTAGGGAAACTCACTGAGCGCAACAAAAAGGCTTCCATTAGAACAGGTAAGATCTTAGAGGAAAATATCACAGATATAAACTATGTTACAACATTATTCGATAAATTTAAAAATGCCAGTGAATTCTTGTGCGGAATCTTGAATATGGACGTGCCTGAATTGCCAAACAATCAACCAGAGGAAGAAGAAAGTGTAGTAACAGGATTGGTGAAAAATAAATCTTTGAATGAAGATGACCTAGAAATATGGGATAATATTAAGGAAAGAAATTTTTACACAAAAATTCCTGATATTTCTGATTTAACATCTGATAAACCTGAAAACGTTTCTGAAATTTCAAGCGGTGAAAAGATAAATGAATTTATTACAAAATTGGAGAAGGTTTCAAACGAACAAGAAATTGACGCGTTAGTATCTGAATTTGTAAATTTAGAGTTGAATAATAAAGCTACAAGAAACAGAATAATGAAATTTTTCATTGAGACTCCAAATATTAACAATTTAAGATTTTATTCACGTTTCTTGAAAATCAACGAATCCATCTTAAAAACATTAATTGATGAATTAATTACATATTTAGATAAAGGTTTCCGTTCCCAAATTTATAACAATAAGTTGAATTTTAAAAACATTTTCTTTTTTTGTGAACTAATTAAATTCAAGTTAATTCCAACCCATGTCATTTTTCACAAGATAAGAAGTTTAACAGTCAATATTTCATCCACGAACAATATTGATATTTTGTCTGTGTTTTACGAACAATGTGGCAGATTTTTATTGAATGATCCAGATTACAGAACGCTAATGAACGAGATGATAGAGTTATTGAAACAAAAGCTGAAAAATGATAAGCTTACGGCTAACGACAAATTAGCTATTAATAATTTATTAATTGTTGTAATACCTCCAACGACAAAGATTAACCAATTACATAATGAGAAGCCAAAATTGACCCCACAGCAACAGTTTATTATTAGGCTTATCAGATACGAATTGAATTCCAAGACTTTTACACTTGTCTTGCGATCTTTGAAGAAGTTTGATTATGTCAATGATGAAGAGCTTCAGGCAGCATTGCTAGATGTTTTTGCATCCCCGGATTTACTCAACTATGAAAACATTGTTGAATTAAGTAAATTATTAGAACAATTGTCAAAGAAATATAAATCATTACTAATTAAAACCGTGGATACGATCGTGGAAAAAATAATGAGAGGATTAGAGCTTAATGATTACAGACTAAATCGAACCAGAATATCACACGTTAAATTTATAAGTGAATTATATAATTTGAAATTGTTAAATTTCAAGTTTATCATTGATCTATTGTACAAAATTCTATGCTTGGGACACCCGAACAACCAACCATTACCAAATAATTATGATATAGAAATCGACTTGCCTAATAATTATTTTAGAATCCAATTGTGTTGCATGTTATTGAATAATTTGAATTCAATTGTGAAATCAACTAGTACCAAAAAATCATCAAAATTGAAGTCAGTTAAGCGTAAAAATGAAGTGAATGAAGATTTATTGACAATATTCCTAACCTTCTTTCAATTTTATTGCTTTTGTAAGCAACAGCCTATTCCAATCGAAATTGAATTCCAGTTAAATGATCTCTTTACTAAATACTATCCTAATTTACAAATGGAGAGATTCCGGGATTTAACAGAATCCATACACAAATTACAAGAAATCATTCAACAAAAAGGATTTCAACAAGCTGAGGAATACGACGACTACGAGGACGAAGATGATGATGATGACGAAGAAGTGGATGATGATGATGATGACGAGCTAGATATAGATGAAGATGATGATAGTGACGATGATAGTGAAAATGATGAAGATGATGATGAAGATGAAGATGATGATGACGACGATGAAGAAGACGATGAGGAGGATGAAGAAATAGAGAGAGTGGTACAATTTTCAGAAGAAGATAAGAAATTTGCTGACGACTTGGATAAAGAGTTCCAAAAAATTGTCCTTGATTCTTATGAATATAATAAGGCCAATGCATCTTCAAGGAATAAATTTAATGTTCCGTTACCACCTAAAATAAACGCATCGCAAGGATCGAATGAAAATAAAATTTCATTTAGCTTGTTAACGAAACAGGGTAAAAGGAATAATGTAAAGCAGGTTAATTTACCAACGGATACCAAGTTTGCGGAATCATTACTAAAGGAACAGGCCAATCAAAAAACACATAGAGAAAGAATCATGAATCTAGTTTTAAATATGGATAATTAAGTATATATAAAATTATGTAACTTTGACTAATACAACGGTTATATCGTCTTCTTTACCGCCTAAATATTTTTGACCTGTCAATCTAGATAACTCCTGTGCGAAAGCACTTGGAAAGTTCACGTCCTTTGATACTTTAACTACTTCCTCAACAAAGGACTGCGAAATGTCAGCCAAGTCCACCTTAGGCTGTTGCTCCAACTTATCTTTCAAAAAAAGCTCAATATCATTAGGAATGACATTATCGGTAACCCCATCTGTTGCAAACATGATTATATCATCTTTTTGCAAGTCCCAAGAGTATTCATCCGCGCGATCAGGCGTGTCGATGATGTAACGTCTTCCTTCGAGTTCAGCTTGTCTTACTATTTGAAATGGAATCTTGGCCAATTGGTATGGTGTGTTGAAATTATGCGTCTGGAAATTTGTTTCGTTTATCAACTTGTAGCCGCGGAATAACCCACACCACGAGTCTCCCAAGTTGGCCACCTTAAGTTTATAGTCAGGGGTCAAAATACCCAAGCATGCAGTTGTCCCACCTATTTCGACCTTTGGAGAGTCCTGTATCTCCTTAAATGCATCCGCCAAAAGGCTCTTGGGTGTCAAATCCGCGTGCTCCTTCTGTTGTTCAAAAATCGTCTTCATGGACCCACACAACTCCCTAGAGATGGCTGACGAGTCATACCCGGCTTCTGACCATCCACCTACTCCGTCCGCTACTCCAAGCGCAACGTAGCCGTCTTGTGATTTTTCTGAGACAAATAAATTGTCTTCTCCCGTAGGTGACTTCTGCGCTGGGCTGGCCTTATGGTTTTTGCTCTTAAAGAGGTTCGATTCCTCCCTATCCTTCGGTTGGTACGCCACATCAATATTGTATGGCATCAAATTCGCCGATGCCGCCGCAAAGTTATTGGCCGCTGCACTGGCTGATCCCCCTTGGTGAGATGAACCTTGCGACCACGATGATGAGAACCCAAACGTTCTTTTGCTGATCGTGCTTCTAGCCGTGTTACATCCTGTAGAAAATCCTCTTTTGGTAGCAAAAGATACGAGCAACAGCATAACAATCACAATTATATATATAACAACTTTATTGATGGGATTTGTCGTATTTAAAAGGACCATATCTGAAGTACTTCCATATGAAGTGTACCAGATAATTGAATAGTAAAATGGTTTGGGGTTTTGTGCAGTATGTTTGGATTATGTAATCTTTTTTTTTATCCAATGAAATTTTCCACCCGAACGAGGGAAACAAAGGTAAAATAATGAAAAATACCCATATAAGTATCAACATAGGAAGACTTACCAGAAGTAAATAATCAAAGAAGAAGAATTAAGATGTCTGCTACATTCAATGTTTTAAGATACTCCGTTTTAGGAGCTGGTGTTGTTTACGGTGCTGTCCACAGATATAACTTAGAATCGAGTGAGACCGAAAGAAAAGCTGTTTCCCAGTGGAAGAAGGAAGAAAACTTGATCAAGCAAGCTAAAGCGGAATTCGCCAAGAAGAACCAACCTAAGACCCCTGCACCTCAACAAACTAGCGGATCCATCAACTGGGAAGATCCAAACTTGGACATCGGTAAGGCTTTAGAATCGTTAGTGCAAAAATTGGATTAAATTATTTGACAAGAAGGGGTTATCTTTGAACGAAAAGCATAACACAGGCATCCATTGGGTATTGACATTGCTTTTATAGGGGTTTCCAACTATTATTGAACAAGTTGCTTAATTGTAGATAAATTAGCATTTCCTGTATAACACGAGAGTGATTCTCTATATATTGATTAAAAATGAATACAGTACAAAAGATTTACTCTGCGTAGAAATTGAGGACTTGTGTAGCGTGGGGCTGTAGTGGGCCCTTAGTGTACAGTAGCCACTGGCTACTGTAGATCAGGTCCCATAATTCATGCCGTTTTGGGGAGGTTGTTGTTGATTTCCGGCCGTTTAAGTATGCGGATCACGTGTAATAATGTTCCATAAGTGTCGATTTCCGGGAGAAGCGATCATTAAAATCGATAATAATCTCTAGATGTCTTACGTAGTACCAGTCATACGTTGGTACAGCATGAAACATGGCTCTGTCTAACTTAAAACCTCCCACACTGCGGAGGGTATTGGGTTCGCCGTTTAAGTCGCCTGCCAATGTTCATAATAACAAGTCGAGCAACTTGTTTTCGAATTCAAACCCAGATTCCCATGCCAGTCCCACGCCAAAGCGAAATGACGAAAGAAACACAATATTTGGGCCAAACGACTCAATCGAAGAAGAGAACAACTCAGATGATCATAAGAGGACCGATGATGTAACCGATGATGTTGTGTGCCCCATCTGTAATGAGCAAATGATTAGTCTATATCAGTTGAACCAGCATATTGACGATGAACATAATACATCAGAAGTTACGTCAGGAACAGATGAAATAAACGAAGATACAAATGCGTCTGTTATTCCCAAAGTTTTGAGTAATGAATTTATAAATAATGACTTAACGAAATGGTTTAGAAAGAAACCGTCCCAGGAGATTGTTACACCTGTTAAACGTAAGACTATCAAGCTCGATTTGATAGATAACAGTAAAGAATTTAGTCTCAGCGATAATACAACGACGAACGAAGGCAGTTTACAAGACGTTTGTTCAAATGCAAGCTCGCCATCGGTAGATAAACTGAGAGCTCGAATAACGAGAGTACACTGGAAAAAACCACTGACATCTCAAAATGTCTGTGCAAATCCCACTTGTAACAAATCATTGAATGTCAAAAATGGTATTGTTAATTGCAGAAAATGTGGAGACTTGTTCTGCAACCATCATACTTATAATAAGGTAAGGTTAAGAAATTCGGAGGACGACAAGGAACCTCTATATGATACTACAAAAGCAGGACAATGGTGCCGATGCTGCGAGAAATGTTATCTTGCAAAACCGGATTTGGTTCAAGGTACACAGGCTAACGTACATGATTTAACAAGTATTTTTCTTCAGAAAAGGCAATTGCATGTTGATAACAAAGAATTGGTTAGAAATAAAATTCAAAAAAGATTTATCAAGGTGGTCAATCTCCATGCAGATAAATATTTATCTACAAAGGATAAGACAATATTCAATATACGATGGTTGTCGTTGAATAATTCTAAGGATTCCATATTGGAAAATGAAAAGGAGATTGTTGGTTATGATAGCTGGCAAATTGATGCAACAATAACTCATTGTTACATTTGCTTAACCAAATTTAACATGTTAATAAGAAAGCATCACTGTAGGCTATGTGGTAAAATAGTTTGTGATGATACATTCGGAGAAAGATCAAATTGCCTGATTGTTGTTCCATTGAGTAAGTTATTGGATAAACTTGTAACACTAAATTATTCACCTCTCGTAAAGCTGAACCTTGAAGAGTTGTTAAATACGGAAGATAATCAATTTTCTGTAAGGTGCTGTATTAATTGCAAAAATGATTTGTTGCATGAATGGAAGTTGAAAAATCAATATAATTCTAAAGAGGATGGCATATTCTTAGTTTACACCGAGATCTTAATGACCAAAAGAAAGATCCAAGTCATGATACCAAGGTATAAAGCATTAGTAACTGAACCTGATAATCAAGCCACAAACAAGTTAAGGTTAAAATTAATGACGTTCATGAAGGACTTTGAGTCACTAACTGTTCTGTTCAAAAGCAAATTTTTTGATAAAGTTAATGACAGACTTGCCGTTAAAGAATTGTACTTACCTTATGCAAGGCTAATTAATAACATTTATCAGGGGTGTACCATGTTTTTACAGGATACCTTAGTTAATGTTAAAGTTCTCAACAAGGAGTATAAACAGAAGGAAAATAAATTGCTAGAACTGATGAAGCCAAATGAGCTGCCTGTAACAACACCAAAATTAACAAAGAAGGAAATCAGGGAATTAAGAGAAAGCTTGATGGTGATGAATGAGCAAAAATTCTTGGTCGAAAACCTTATTGCCCAAGTCACAAAACAGAGAAAATTCGACGAATTGACCCCATTGATGGAGAATAAGAGTGAGCTCAATGCTGCAATCAAGGACTTGGAGTTTAAACTTGGCAATGACGGATTTTAGTGATTTTTATTATTGAGATTAGTTTACTTGGATAATTGTGTTATAATTTAATCTTCCTCCACCCTGTCCCCCATGTATTTATGTGGAGGCATGTGCCATAGTTAATCATATAATTATATAGAGAACAACAGTTTAATCAAAGGGTTGTAGTTGGATCCTCCATTGGGCCCCCAAATTATTATTTGGGGGATCACATATAAATCTTCTATTTACCGTGTGCAATCCCCCACGTTCCTCCACATTACTCACGTAAAATTTTAACAAACTCGCTTCTAAATCTCAGCTCATCCGTAAATTAAGGATTTCATAGACGGTTGTACAGATAACAGGTGTATTGCTTGTGGGGTATTAAAGGGTCAAATATTTAGAGAAGCATATATATATATATGGGTATTCGTTTATTATGAACTATTTTGAAGGTTGTAAAATTAACTATAGAAAACATCATGGATGATAAGATGATCAAATCTCAACTGTGTATTTCACTGCAATCTTCACAAAAATTGGATACATCTTCTATGACACAGTCAGTAATAAGTGAACCACGTCGCCTGGTATTGAATAAGATTGTTGGTGGCCTTAAGTTCGAAAAAGTTGAAGATAGACCCACCCCTTCAGAAGTCTATAATTGGAGAGTATATGGAACGGCTCTTCTTGCATCCTCGGCAGCTATAATTATTGGTTATGACGGTGGATTTATTGGAGGCACTGTTGCGTTACCATCTTTTAAATCTGAATTTGGGCTTGATAAAATATCAGAGAGTGAAGCAGGAGATATAATTTCTAATGTTATTTCAGTTTTTCATGCGGGATGTTTCTTCGGAGCATTACTTTCATATCCGTTTTCATTCTATTTGGGTAGAAGGCTTTCGTTGATCATAAGTGCCACGGCAATTACAATAGGGTCCGCTATTATGTTGGCAGCTCTGTCAAAGAATGGACTTGGACCAATTTATGCAGGTAGAGTAATAGCCGGTTTGGCAGTAGGTTTTTCTACAAACTTAACACCAGTGTATTTGAGTGAGATTTCACCGCCTGCAATTAGAGGTAGAGTTATTGCGTTATATGAAATTGGTTGGAGAATTGGTGATTTAGTGGGATTCTGGATTAACTATGGGATTGATTCTCATATTGGTCCTTCCAAAACGCAATGGTTTATTCCTTTTGCAGTCCAATTAATTCCAAGTGGTATTTTTTTTGCTGGTAGTGTTATTATGAAAGAGAGCCCAAGATGGTTATACAGTGTAGGCAAACATGATCAAGCTATTAAAAATTTAAAATGGTTTAGAAATTTACCAGAAGATGATGAGTATATGGTTTATGAGGTTAATCAAGTTAAGGAATCAATAGAATCACAAAGGCTCCATGTTGGTCTCAAATTGTGGGATCCATTTAAACAGGTATTCTTCAAAGATCACAAAATTTTATTTAGATTGCTCATCACCTGTTCGTTATTTTTGTTTCAAAATTTCTTGGGAATCCAATCTATCAATTACTACTCCCCTATTATCTTTGCTAATTTAGGGGTCAAAGGAACAAATGCCACATTATTTTCGACAGGTATGTTTGGTGTAGTCAAATTTGTTTGTACCTTCATCTACATTTTGTTTGTTGTTGATACTTTTGGCAGAAGAAAAGCATTCATGGTTTCTTCCACAGTGTGTTCTATTTGTTTCTGGTACATCGGTGCTTATTTGAAGGTTAATGATCCTACTCAACCGGGAGTTGAAGCTGGCCCAGGTGGCACTGCTGCGATTGTAATGATGTACTTCTGGATTGCGTCCTTTATTTTAGCTTGGTCTGGTGGCCCGTTTGTTGTTGGAAGTGAAGTCTTCGATCAGAATATTAGATCATTTGTCCAGGCAATCAATGCGGCTATTTCTTGGATACCTATTTTCATAATGTCAAGGTTTACAACCAAAATGATTGACAAGATGGAATACGGCATTTACTTTTTCTTTGCATGTTTGGCAGCATTGTCTGTTCCATTCGTATTTTTCTGTGTTCCTGAGACTAAAGGTATTGCATTGGAGGATATGGATAAAATATTTGACAGATCATTACCAGCTCGTAAGGCACACAGGATTGTCCTTGGGCAAATTAGAGCCAACGCTATTAGTCAATTGGAGGGACATAGAGGACTTTACAAAATGGACACTAACAAATCAAATGAAATTCAAAATATTGAGAATTTGGAGTTAATGGTCAAAAACGAGAAGTGAATCACATTTAACTAACCACTAATGGTATATATATAATGCTTAATGATAATGAATAAATAATTAATTAACTAGCTATAATATCAACGTAGATAACTAGCTAAAAGTAAAGTAGTTTCCGATAAACCTGTTGAAAGACTAATTGAAATTATTGCAATACAACATATTAATTAAATTGTATAGAAATTTTAAGAATAAGGCAACTTGTCCGAGCGGTTAAGGAGAAAGACTTGAAATCTTTTGGGCTTTGCCCGCGCAGGTTCGAGTCCTGCAGTTGTCGCCACTTCTTTTTTTTTTTAATTTTTCGCAACTAAACTTATTTAGTGAGCTTTACTTGTTCTATGCGTTCCGAACTACTGTAATCGTATTAATAATATATTAATCTATAAATGCTAAACCAATCCACTTAGAGTTAACTTTTCTAAGAAAGGAGATAAATCATCCTTTCTGATTTCGATGACAGAACTGTCAAAACTATCTATTCTTACCTTTGCACCGGATGTATTAGCCACTTGTTGGAATGCAACGCTGAATGTATTTAATCTTGTAGTAATAGTTGCATCATCCTTCAGTTGTAATAATTTTGCTTTTGTTGAATTATCCATACCCCTTGGATATTTTGGTGCTAATCCAATTACTAAATACGTGTCGCTCGCAACGTCAAGACTTGCCACAACTAAGGGCTTCAATGATTTATTCGATACCGAATTTAAAAATTCTAATTCGGTTATGTTTTCGAGTAACCAAGATCCCAATTTAGATAAAATCAATGGATTATTAAATATCTCTAGATCTGGTATTGAACCGTCATTTAAGACACATAACCTATACAATCTTAAATTTTTTATCAACTTCCTTTCTAGTAAGGACATCCCTGTCCGAAAAAGGATTTGTTGAATTTGTTTGGCATGTTCTAATCCTTGCAATAATAAATCGAAACCCTTGGCCTTCTTGAAGTTTGTTGAAGGTATCTTGGCACTAACAGACTTTGAAGTATTGGTATTCATGTTTAATGCATCCCAGGATGACCAAAAATTGTTGACCCATATTTTTTCCTTTCTTTCAATTCTTGAGTTTATCTTATCTTCATCATCAAGATTGTCATCCTCTTCGTCATTGAAGTTATTGTTGCCGTCCAATATACGTTTATCGCATTCAAGTAATGCAGTGAGTGATTCAACACACTCTATTGCAGATAGCTGTCCCGAATATCCAAAAGTTCTTATAAATCCATTCCGCACTATGCCCTCCAATCCATAAAGTGGTAAATACTTATTGAAAATGGTTGGTAACTGTCTCTTTATTCCAATATCCATATAAAGCCAATTCTGTTGAGCTATAGCCAATGAAACCCCCATTTTGGCAAACAACTTATGCAATTTCTTCTTACCATTTTCGGTCCACAAGTTCAACTTTGAGTTTACATGACTTGAATAAAAAAATGAATCATATAGAGTCCAATGGCGTAATAAAAATAAGTGGTAGTCCTTATCGATACTTAATGATGTTGAGTCGGCTGTTTTGTCCGCGTTATTATTGGTGTTTGAAGGGTTTAATCTGAACACTTCTTCCTTGAATAAAGGTTGAATCTTATCGTAAACCTCAGGATAATGATTATCTAATGATGATGTACCAATAATTGATAACCATAAATTTTCAATATTAGTTTCACCAATTGATGATAATAGTGCATATATCGTAGCCGTGGTTGAAGTTATTATTGTCGTACCTTGGTTATAATATGTTTCCACTATATCTTCGCAACCCGATATTTGCTGCTTCCGTTGTTTCTTCAATTTCTTCATCTTAATCTCTTGTTTTCTCCGTTTACGTGACGATGTTTCTGGGTCATCTTGAGAACTTATTACTATATTATCATCGCTGTCATTATCGTCGGCGTCTTCTCCCTCTTCGTCTTGGTATTCATTCTCATCGTTGTCATCACTAGACAGCGATTCTTCTTCTGAATCTACTTCTTGCTCCACTAATGTCTTATATGCTGTTTTTTCCTTATCGAGATTTCCTTCTATGAACCCATCATCGAGACACACAAGCATTGATGACCCAAATATATTATCCAAGTTCCATGGCCTATGGCCATCTATAATATAAATTTTTCTCCGCAAACTAGCACCACCTTTCAAAGGGTCATCGTGAAGATCGTCAGTTTCCACCTTGTTGCCATTTCCAACATCATAATCATCAATATTAATCTCAAAAAAACTTTCCAAGTCAAGCATTGCACCACATCCAATCAAAATGACATTCGTAACATCTGAATCCAAGTTACTAAAATGATTCTTTAAATCAGAATATCCTACCACCGGTATTAACTGATACTGAATTAGCTCTTTTTTAAATATAATACTCAAAATCTTAGCAGAACATAGCGAATCAATATTTAAACATGAAACAAATATAATTAACTTGCAGGTGGAATGCGATAATGATGTTCGCTTGATTTCTTGGAATGCTTTAGAGTATTGAGTTGGTGATATGTACATAACCTTTCAACTCTTACTACCCACCTATAGTATATAGTACTTCACTGGATTAGTTTACCTTGGTGTTAATCTTCACTACATGAACTTAACGCGTTCATTTCTATACGCGATTTTAATCACATGATAATATTACTATTGTCATTAACTATATATAAACGGAAACCTATCAAAAGAACGTACTTGAATTAGTCATATTGTTACAAATAATGGGATATATATATACAACGTTAGTTATACTTAAACGTATGAGAAACTTCCAAAGCTTCTTCTTCCTAGTACATTAATATCCCAATTTAAAACCCCACCATCTTCGCAGCCTATCAATAATTGTCTATCAAACCAATCTACACCGGCCAATTCCATTTCACCATGTATATGATTGACTGATTTTTGGTAGGCTTCTTGATAGTATGTATCATATGACGAATTCGACCGAGCGGCTGTGTGTGCATTAGAACTTGATTCTGCGGAACCTGGATGAGTTAAATGCTCGATGGTGCTATTCTGCCCTGGACCAAATTGGAAGTTTGGATCAGGTTGCTGAGGTGGAATGGAGATAGACGCTCTTGTGTTTTCAGGCGATATATCATCGCTGCTATCATTAGAGTCCGTATTCCATTGAGGGTAGTTGAATTCTGGAGGTGGTAAATACAGATTATCGGGGCCGTTCGACGTAGGAGGAGTTTGATAAGTGTAGTTCTTAAACAATTTAGGATTGACATTAGTTAGATAGTCATAATCGTAGACTAATGGTGCTGTAAATTGTAAATCAGATTTACGCTTGATTTCCCCGATTTCATTTGATCTAAACAAATTACTCGAATCACCGTAAATACCGAACTTCCGATGAGAAACTTGGTCTTCGTCCTCAATGCTGTCCTGTACTTCTTTCTCTTCGCCAGATAATTTTGTTTCAACGTTCAACTGTTGTTCTTTGTAGTCAGCATATTGGTCCAAAGCAAATGGAAAGACTATGACTTGGTGATCGTTGGTATTCTCATTACCTAAATTTCTCAAGTCAAAAAGGTGCACTCTCCCAACATGCTCCAGAATTACCAAAAAGTCGTTGACAGAGGAGTTGGCAAACTTACAACATCTGAACGCACCTGCTTGGTGACCTGGTCTCGTGGACTTGATTTCACTCAAAGGATTGGATAAATTTCGAATATCATACAAACTACATGTACCGTCTTGAAATGCAGTTGCGAAAAGATGTCCATTAGGATGATAAGAAATACCAAACCCCGAATCATGATCGGTTTTAATCGTTTTAATCTTTGAGTTTGAGCTAGGATCAAGCAAGAAAATAGACGACGAATCTCCGGTAACAGTCACAAGTTTATCATTAGTAGGTGATCTGCATACGTTATTTAACGACGTGTTCAACTCGCAGTTGATTTTATTATCCAACGACAATCTGTCCCCACTAATGTCAACCACATACAAGTTCGAATCGTTATTGCAAACATACGATTTATATTGGCTGCTTGCATGTGGGTAGACCGAAACTGAATTATTGATCACATCTCCCAACTTTACAGTCTCGCCCATCCCTGTTTCTGGATTATAAAACGAGAAGAGCCCCTTTGGCGTACGGAACGACTTGGTCGTCTTATCCGCAGAAGACAAACTGGAAAGATTCATCGAATAAGCCTTCGAAGACGACGATAAAAGACCTCCCGTAACGACTATGCCTCCTCGTGTATGACTAAAGCACTTTGGAAAATAGTCCCATTCCATGTGCTTATCGGATCCGATCTTATCGTTGTTCACCAAATTCACCTCCCTTATACTATCATCTTTAGTGTGATAAAGCTTCCCATTCTCTTGGTCTACCTGGATTAAGTCCCGGAGTTGCCAGTGGTTTACACTCGCTTTGATATTTGTAATATACTGCGGATTTGGATTTAAATAATTATGTCCATGATAGTAATTCTGAAAGCACTTATAGTAGTTACTATTATTATAGCCATGCGACCCACTTCCTCCAGCTTTTCGCTTAAGGTTATTACTTGTATCATCTACTATATCGATAGTCATTTTCGATACTTTTAATATATTTCTGAGATGTCTTCCTAAAAACTTTTCAATCTAAACCCACCCATCTAGATCTTATTATTCAAGTAGATAAAAATCACAAAAAGGTGGAGTCATTTCTGGTTATGAACCGATGGTTCGATGTTGCGAAATAAAAAGAAATACATGACTACTACACTTCATGCCAGAGATGTTGCTTAGTCTTGGGGTTTACAAAAAGAGCTACCCAGTAGTCAGCTGAGTCATCCTATATGTCTTTTTATTTACTCCCACTGTGAATTAAAAATATATAGCCCTAGAACGATTAGAAACAGACGCATAGATTATCGGCTTAGTTACCTCGGGAGTGGAGAATTGCTGCAATCTGTGGTGCGATCGTACGATAGAAAACTTGAGTAAAAACGTGAGATTATGTTTAGAGTACTAACTATGAGTAGGCTGTACATTTACATTTAAACCAATAGCATATATTTGAATCGTAGATCAGCGAACCCTATTATTTTTCTTTGGGGTAGACATGTACGCGTGCAAAATGGAATAGTGCAGCAACAGATGCAAAAAAGCGTACAATAGTGTCTATTGGGCAAAATACTATCGAACCTATCATACTATACAAAATTCTATTAAAAACAGCTTTTCCGAAGCTTCTTCAATGCAGACGCTACTTATCGGTGCAGCAATTGATATGAAATAGCTGTAGGCGGTTAATGCTATGAAGGGAAGAAGACCGGACGACATTTACGGGTAACTTATCAGACCAAGCCTTTCCATGCTCTTCCGACCCAGCCACAATCCCTTTTGTTATCATCTTTGGCGTCTATCTTCCAGTTTGTCTTTGGATCTGCGTAATTTAAGGACACTTCGCCTGCGGGTTTCGAAATACAGACGTATCTGCCATTAGGTAAAAAGCATCTTAATTGCGACGATGGATAAGGACAGGGACAGAACTTGGGCTCATCTACACATATGGCTGTATCAGGACACAAGTACTTCGAACATCCCGAGTTTAGATTTGAACTTTCGTATTCACCAGGAGTCTGCCTTTGAGCTTGTTGATGGTTCCCCTGAAATTGATTATGTATAAAGTCAAATAAATTTGCCGATACAACTGTTAATGTGAATAAGATATGTATGATATTTCCGATCATTGTATTTGGCTTATCAAGGTGGTGGTGTCAATAAAAATAGCGTACACGTATTTGAAATCTTTTTTAATAGAATGTCAATTTTGCTCATCCGGGTAATTTTTAAATTTTGATCTGTTTGTTAGTAATAGTCGACCAAAACCATATCAATGGCACTATAAACAGGGTTTTACAGAGCAATTAGCATAATTTGCATAATTTGCAAACTAATAAGTTACTATTTTGTAAAGTGTTTCTTGGATCTAAAATTTTAATGAAATTTCCGAAAATAAATGACACTTTAGAAAAATCTTAGTGCAAAGCATTAACCCATAGTGCACTATTTAGAAGAGTTATAAGACATGCAACGCTTTTTTAATCTCTCAGATTTAATTGGTTTCATTGTATCACATTAGATAGTATTCCAAAAGGCTTTGAGTTTCCAGTCTTGATGTGTTTGCAACAATTGGGGTACTTTTTTTTGCTGCTAAAATCGTCACCCTATGACAAGCATCTTATATTATTCTTGGGTCCAATCGGCTCTTTAAGCAAGCACATATTTGCTGCCTAAAACATTAAATGTCTTAACGTATGGTCGGGTACTATTGGCTATAATAAAGACGTGAAACGTACAATCGCTGACAGAAGCAAATGGACTTACTCATTTTGAGCAAAACTTACAGAAAAGCTATCGTAAATTGTATATTATCATAGAATCTATTCTAATTATACCTAGCTCACGAGGAATGAGACGTATTAAAGACAAGGCTTAAACCAAATACCTTAACGAAGTGCCAAATACTCAGTTACCACAAGCATGTTTATTTTAGGCTGCTTTGGGCGTTCCTTGTGATTGTTAGCAGATTTCTTGAACAATTCCGAAGTTTTAGACTGCTTTGGGCATTCCTTCTGATCATTTTTAGCATATTTCTTGAACAATTCCGAAGTTTTAGACTGCTTTGGGCATTCCTTCTGATCATTTTTAGCATATTTCTTGAACAATTCCGAAGTTTTAGACTTGATCGATTTAAATGAACTACCTATGGAGTAAGTAGATGTGTTCGAAGAATCGAGTGACTTTTTTCCATATCCAATATTTGACATTATTTATAATGTTGTATGGCATAGTCTAATCGATTATGATTCAAGTAAATTCTATACATTTATATAGTAACTACTAGGCCTGACTAATAGGACACTGCTGTGGCTGACCTTCAGTATTATAAATGTGCTGAGAAATCACTAATAGAAATAGGTTTAGAGTATGCAGCAAAGCATTGTGTGAGTTTTTCGCAGGCCTGCAGTAATGAACGGCTAACAATAGAATACTGTATATGGACATATGACAAACTTCATATCTATAAGTATAAGTTTACGAAGCATGGATTCTAATGAGTCATGGAATCTACAACTATAGATCGCAGGAGTTCTTTTACAGTATGCATATTCTAATAATTCTAAAAACTCAAATTACAGCCTTATACATTTAGATAATATTATATCTTCGCCGACAAATAGTTAATCACAGCTAGCCTCTGAGAAGGTGATAACGAGCGGAAATACGCAACTATGAGATTAATAGAATCTTCGCTACTATAGTTAGCCAATTAAACAGTTCAAAATTCGATTATAGGGCCGCGTATTATACATACTGGTTCACATTCCAAGGTGCAGCTGCTGCATGGATATTGAGCACCATAATCAATATAATAAGAGTCATTATCAAAATAACTGTATGTAATATGTCTATTAATTGAAATTGGCTTTCTGGGAGATTAATTTCTGGATCTGGTACCAAAGATATTGGTACTTCCTCTATGCTCAAATTGGGTTTAAGTAGACTTTCATATTTTTCTAAATTATTGGAATTATTGGAATTAGATTTCTCTGTTGAATTATTCATATTGATATGTAGTTACACTTATTATTCTATCTGCTAACCTGTGAAAGATTTCTGTCACCACATTTATCTATTTTTTAGTATTAGCTTGTTTGTGGTTTTGCAGTATTAGATCTCAAATAAAAAAAAATGGGGCGAGCTGGGAATTGAACCCAGGGCCTCTCGCATGCTTGTAGTAATCAATTTAGTNTCCTAAATCGTCGCCCAAAGCGAGAATCATACCACTAGACCACACGCCCTATCATTATCTGAATTCAATCTGAGAACTAATACTTTATTTGGACAAAATTATCATTTTATATATATTTGTATATTTATAAGCTAAGTAATTTATGCATCTTTAATCAATGCATATACATCTTCGACTTCCATTTTCACTTCTTGTAAAGCTCTCAGTTCAGACCTGACTCCAAAATACCAAATCATTCCATTGATGACCCCTGTTATTCCAACAACAGTGCTTAAGAAAAGTAATAAGACGGACGACCATGCCTTTTTTTCTGATGCAAATGTTATTCCTATGTGTATGGCGATAACCACTAGAATGGATAAAAAGAAATGAATTTTTCTCCAATTTGCTTGAAAAGGTATGGTATACTTTTGATAATGTCCAATTTCTTCAAGAAGTTCTTGGTAAACCTTCAATTTTTCATTGTTGTTCTCAGAGTTTTCGTTATAATGATAGTCCACTTTCAGAGCTATTATCAATTCTGTACTATATGCAAAGTGGTCCGAGTAAGAACAATTCAAAGGTGGTGGCAATATATCGGTAAATTTGACGCTGGCATTAATAGGTTTGATATTGTGAGAATCGATTAACGCATAGTCCAACCTACATGCTTCCCATCTCTCTCTATGTGCTCTCCAAGTATTTAATTGGGAATCACAAGTAATACCTCCAACTAGGATTTGCTCTTTAGGGTTCATAGTCGCAATATCTTCCGGTGCAATTATTGAACTGATCTTACTATTATGACAAATTTCCCATGAATCACTCAATCCTCCATCAACTGTGAACAATTTATATGGTAACGAGCCAGGTTTAGAGTTTAAATCACCTACTTGGATTACTGCATATCCAGACTTCCTTAACATATTAACAAATCTTGCAAAATCCCATGCCTGACATGCCCTATGACAGGAATAACTTGCATCACCAGTCTGAGCATATGGAGCATGCATATGTGAATTCAAAATAGCAATTGGTAATGAACCATTGGTATGTGGCTTTAGCAATGTGATTGCAATACTCTTACCCACAAGCCAGTCACCTCTAAAGAATGCTGATGGTCTTCCATTAATTGGAAATCTATATAGAAAAGTTGACTCTATAGGAATTTTTGATAAAATTGCTAGTCCTGGTCCCGAAACAATCCCTGATTTAAATATTCTTCTATATGGATATCTCTCTCTGCATTTATTACTTATATAAAGCCAATCCTCTTCGCACCACACTTCCTGTAAAGCTACTATATCATAATCTTCATCAAGCGAAGTCGGCTTACTCAATCTATCACCTATAGCTTGTAATCTTTCTTTCCGTAATTTGGAAACAAATTTTAAGCCCCAGGTGTTAAGTGTTAATAACTTAACTGGATGTGGAGCAGTATTTTCTGGTCCCCTAATATTCCTTATCATCTCCGTAATACAAAAAAGACGACATGTAAGACTGATTTGATTTTTTTTTATTTTAAGTCGCGAGTAAGAGAAACGTAAACAAATACAGGCCAGTTTTTGTTATATTATTCAGTAATCATAAAGAAGGATGTCTACTGCTAATAAATCACCAATAGATGAGTTTGAATCTTTACAGTCATTGATGAATGACTTTTCTGCTAAGTTTGATACGGCATTAACGCAAAAGAGGTCAGCTATAATTAACGATAAACAACTTCATTATGTGAAAGTGAATGAATTAAAAAACCAAGAAACCCAGTTACAATCAGATATAGAAGGGTTAAAACAGAAAGAAATAAAGGTGAAAGATACCATAAAACGAACAATGGAAGACTTGCAGATGCAACAGCTAAAAGTAGATGAGTTAGCAAGGAAACAGGATAACTTATTAGATGAGAAGGACGAATTACAAACAGAAATAGACAACTTGAGCAGTCAAGTCCAAACAACAACCGACAGCTTAGAAAAATCTCTGAATAACTTAGCTGAACAGTTACGAAAGGACTATCCAGAATTGCTCAGATACGAACAGTATTTGGGGCTTAAGATTGAAGTTATCGGACAAGATTCGTTAAAATTCGTCTTTAGTAATATTGATCCAAGCGATCTAGATAAAGAAGTGTGGTGTGACTTGTTGGTTGGTGGAGAATTGTTCAAGGTAGGTGATTCCTTCCCACCGTTAGCTCCAGATATTATTACATTACTAGAAAATGAGTTTAACCATCATAGAGAATTCGTGAAGTTTTTGAAAACAGTAAGAGCTTTATTAATGGATTTAATATAAGTATTCAACCAAAAAAACGAAAACACTGTACTATAGTATTCATTGGTTAATTTTGGCATAAATAAATTAGGTATTGTTAATATATATTAATATTCAATATTCAATATTCAATAGGAAAGCTCGAGACAAGATGTCATAAATACTTCCAGAAAAATAATTTTCAGAAATGGTTTCGTGGTCTAGTTGGTTATGGCATCTGCTTAACACGCAGAACGTCCCCAGTTCGATCCTGGGCGAAATCATTTTTTTATATTTGTATATACTTAATTTCTATTGTTTTATTTTCAATCTTTTATGTTATATTGATTATAATGGTTATTTGGTTACTAAACAACTTATTTGTATTTTATAATGATTTTTAATTAAAAATTAAATTGAGACGAAGATTGAATATATTATGTATAATTTCCAATATTTTGCAATTGCATCATATTTCTATTAAAATTGTAATTATAATTTAAAATTATATTATTTTCGAATGAATACTCCATTTGAGTTATAACACTGACGTAACTGGTCTCAGAACGTTGTATTCTTCTACTATTTAAAGAAGAATACAATTATATAGTATAAAGTCAAGTCAGAAGAAACCAAGTCTTAATTTTATATCCGGACCTCGCGCATAAATATTTCGATTGTTCAATTTCAAAAAACTATAGAATTATATTTATTTATAATAAATACACCAACATCTGAAATTAGAAATGCTGCAAGAAATAAAACAAAGGATTATTAAGCATATGAACAAGGACCATCAATTGGCTGTTATAGATTATGTTGTTGTTTATGGAAACGTTAAGGCAAGTGACATCATTAAACCATCCGTTCATATGGTAGATGTTAACGAAACAAAATTAGTTATTGTTTACGATACGACTAAAGCAAAAGCTCCACAAACATTGTCGATTGAATGGGAATCAGCAACTGAACCCGAAAATAAGAAAGTAACTAGTTTGAAGGATGTCAAAGGAAAATTGGTTTCTATGGCGAAATATGCTGCTGCTAAGCAAGGCTATTCACACCAGCAAATTTCGAAGGTCCTCTATCCACGTCAGGCCATAGTTTGGTATCTTATTTTTGGTTTCTTGTCATTAGGAATGTATGATATGCAAAGTTTAAAAGAATCTTTTGAAGTAGATCCAATTGCTTCAAAACTAATTACTTTCTTGCCTACGGCAGCATTTAAAGGATTAAGATTTGTTGAAAAGCATATTGCGTTCATTTTCTATTCTTTATATGCCATTCATTTAGGAGAAATTTTTTTTATTATTGTTCCAATGACTATCAAGTACAGGTTGCCTACATCTAAAAAAATTCTTTGGTGCTTCATGACATTCTTTGAAGGTGTATTTTCGTACAATAGATTCCAGACCTTAGTTGACGATAAATAAGGTTTTTATGTTATGTCTAGTTTTATCTTAGAGTTCTTTCTATTGGCACTCTGTTGGATGAAATTTGATTTATATTTGTTCAGCTAATTTTCGTAGCTCCTGACTCCTAAATTTTTATAGTATGATTTTTAATAATATTAACTGCTCTTTATAAATGGAATTTCAACTTACCCTAATTGTTTTGTTTTCTTGTCTCTTAAATTCGAAACTTGGTTTCTGGATAAAGATATTTCCTTTACTTTTTACTATTGGTTTGCATATCTGTTAGAGTTTTACCTTTGATTATCTCATAAATGTGAATCCGTTCTTAAAATTCAATCAAACTGGGTACCTAATTTGTACTGCCTAGCATATTTAACATCCCGACTGAATAGAAAAAATCTTGAATCTACCAACTTAACTTAATCTTAACTAAAAGGCTAAGCTATTCACTTGATGATGTTGCGAACTATCTATTTAGACAAGCATGTCTTTAATTAATCTCAGGATTAGGCAGCTTGTCCGAGTGGTTAAGGAGAAAGATTAGAAATCTTTTGGGCTTTGCCCGCGCAGGTTCGAATCCTGCAGCTGTCGTCATAATGTTTTCTTATTTTTTGCAATGATTCAGAGAAAGTTCAGATAGAAAAACTAGGATGAAACTTAGAGATCATTTGGCCCTGTAATAAGCATAATGAGAAGGAAGAGGTATAGCTAGACTTTTTTTTATATGATAAAGTAGAGGTTATCATAAATTGTATCATTCACTTAAAAACTATAGTATCATAATATATAGAAGTATATACCTCATCCAATTAACGATAAAAGTCTGGTCTAGAGGTATTTAATCCGTATTCATTCAATGCACTGCTCAAATCCTCCATGGTCAATACTATTTTGCCTTGTTGATTACCCGCATTACTACCTGTGTGTTGCAGTGGTTGCTGCTGATCACCCTGACCCTCTACACCTGAACCAGGCCCACCAACAGAACCAGTAATCAGCTGTTGATTGGCGTATTGTTGGCCTTGTATTAATTGCTTTGCTCTTGCTTGTGGGTTGGCAGAATTATAAACTGATGATGAATTTCTTATACGTGAATATTCGTATGCATCCTGGGCAACATCCAGAACGAATTTTTGAGTAGCTAGCGCTAATAATCTTTTAATTTTTACGTCTGATGTCTCAAATCCGTTTTTAGCCAAGTAGTAATCGGTAACTGCATCGGGTATAATTGGAGCAAATTCACCATCCATTAGATCAAGTACTTCTTTCAAGCTCTTATCCTTTCTTGAAAGCTCTGGTAAGTCTGGCATAGCAGCTGCAGTTGGAAGAGTATCCTGTGTTGGTGCTTCTGAGGAAGCTTTATTGTTCGATTCGGATTTTGCTGGTTGTTCGTCCACATTATCATTAAATTCATCCTCTAACTCATCATCCTCAATAGGTATATTAACACCTTCTTCATTTGTTATATTCTGACTCATAACTATTCTTTATTTATAATATACAAATCTAATAAAGTTTGATGGCTTTCTTTATTGAAGTTCATTTAGTTTTATTATCTGCGCGACATTATCAATTTTCAAAATAATACAGTATAATCATTAGCATACGATTAGAAGCTAAAGCATAGCCGTACGGGATAACTGATGAAATGACAGACAATTTACAAGACCCGTATGACTCTATAACATTCGGCAATTCGCTACTGTTGCGTGTTGACGGTGCTGTTGGGGCAATGTCATTATCGCCTAACGGTAGAGATGCTGTATTAGCTGGAAGACGGGGACTTTTTATTATTGATCTAGATGATCCATTTACCACTCCACGATGGCTTCATCATATAACCTCATGGGAGGTTGCAGATGTTCAATGGTCGCCTCACCATGGAGCGAAGCCTTCGTGGTGCATCTCAACTTCAAATCAGAAGGCACTATTATGGGATTTAGCAAGACCATCAGACAATGCTATTTCAAATGTATTACATGAGCATACTAGAGCAATCACAGATATCAATTTCAATCCATGGGACCCGGAAATATTAGCTACCTGTTCTATTGATTCATTTATATTAAGTTGGGATATGAGAACTCCAAGAAAGCCTGTTGCACGGTGGGCGGAATGGAGAGCAGGTGCTACCCAAGTTAAATGGAACCACAAGAACCAGTATGAAATTGCCTCGAGTCATGATAATTCCTTCTATATATGGGATTCTAGAAAAGGCGCATTACCCGTTTTAAAAGTTAATAAGGCTCATGAAGGAAAAATCAATGGTCTTGATTTTAGCAATGGTTTATCTAACATTATAACCTGTTCGAATGATAAAAAAGTCAAGTGTTGGAATTTGGAAAACAATGGACCTGGTGATTTTTCAAAGGATTTCAACTACTTTGCTAATGAAAATAACAAAACAAATAGTGTGCGACCAACGGTTGTTATGAATGCTGATTATCCTGTTGCTAGAGCAAGGAATTTGCCATTTGGTAGAACAAAGACATGTGGGATAATGCCATTAATTGGAGGACAAGATGCAATTCACATAATAGACTACGAGTCGGCGCATCAAATGGCTATTGAAACGGGAAAGACGCAAGAAATAAGTGCCGATGATATCTATACATTTAAAGGCCATAATGGTGCCATGAAAGATTTTTTATGGAGGACTAGACATGAGTCTTATGAATTCTTTGATAGTAAACATGAATGGAAAGATTACCAATTGGTTACATGGTCATCGAAAGACTTTGATTTAAAATTGTGGCCCCATGATGAAGATTTATATAAAAAGGTTAATTATAACCCATCATATCAAAAAATCCTTGGAGCTTTCTCTAACGAAGAGCTGGATCCAGAGGATTCACCAAAGGCACAATCGCCCAGTAAAGGCTACTTTGACGAAAAGAAAAAGTCATTTTATAAATATGAATCGTATTGTATGGAACCACCTACAACTATAGCTGATTTAAAACGTGATAACCAAGGGGACATGTTATCGTCATTTGCACTGTATCAGATAGCTCAAAATCATAAACAAAGTGGTGATTCATCACAATTGAATCATCTTGATTGGATCTCTGGGGTTCGTATTGGCCGCACTGGAAGAGCTAATGGTAAAGATCAGAATATCAATACAACTGTTGACGAAGATGGGCCTTCGAATTTGGGGGAAGAAGTAACAATTGTTGGCCATAAATTTCCTAAAGTCCGTTTTGAGAAAATCTCTGTTTCTACAGGAGAATTGGTCATTAGTTTAAAAGGGCCAGCACCATATGTGGAAAATATTAAGGCTGATAAATCAAGTACTTCAAATTCCGATAAAACAGAAGAACTAAGTAATAATGAAACCAACAACGCAGGGGATAAGACCACTTTAAAAGACCCAGCAAAATCCAGTGTCTCTGAATCAGTAACACTAGAAGACAGTACTGTGTTAAACAATAGTACTAAAGGAATGACGAACAATAATGATAATGATAATTCTAATGATGCTAATGTCAATACTGCTGCTAATGTAAATACTACCAATAATACCACTAAAAATATCAATAATAATGCATTGGATAGTAATGCTGCTAATATTATTAATGCTAATACCTCGTCCATTAGCAATAATTTAACCAGTGCTGTTGAAGAAAACGACGTAGAGAATATGTCAAATAATATTGCTAACAGTACAACTATTCAAACAAACGATGAAGTTAGTCCCGAACAAAAGCTTATATTTATACGAATTGAAATAAGCTTTCCCAAGTCATATCCTTACCTTGAAGAAACAGATAAGATTGAGGGAATCCCTTCTAAAAAATTGGCGAAATTGCAAAAGGCTAATTTAATAAAATTCAAAATAGAAGAAACACATGAGTTAACATCAGACTTAAGGAATGAAATGTTAAAATCTTTAAACGAAATATCCCATTTCTACACTAATAAATACCAAAAATTTTGTTTAGAGCCATGTTTAAGGTACTTGATGGGGGATAAAGTTGAGCTACTTGATTCATTAATGTTAGCATCCAATCAAGATAATGAAAATATAGTTGACCCTGATGGCTTAATTCAAGAAATTGGAACTGAAGGGTGGGCAGACGATTTAATTAACCAGCAGCCGGATATTGAATTCAATTCTATGAAAGACGATTCGAGTTCTGAAGAATATAAATACGATTTTTCAGATCTTATTCCTGTTGCCGACGATGACGATGACGACGAATTAATACGAAGTACTGATTCTATTAGGAAAAATGAAAATACTAATGATGATCCAAGTATAAGCGAAGGGCGAAATAAATTTGACGATATATCGAAGAAGGATTCCAAGATTCCAAGTAAAAAATTCTTTGATTCAACTCCAGTTCCTAAAGGCTGTGGAGCAATGTGGTCTCATACTGGCCAACTTGTTTGTTTCTTCATTCCGAAAAATAATGAAGAGGAAGAAAATAAAGCACTTCAGAAATTCAATATTTTTAAGTTCACGGATGGGGGGTTTAGCTTGAATACTCATAGTCCGCATCATCAGCACAATGAAAACCAGCCTAAGAATTTGTTTAATGGCTCAATTACATCTCATTCTGAATCAGAAAATGAAAGTGATGATTATGACTCTCAATCCGATAAAAGTTCACGTAGTATTAATAAGGAAAATGCGTCGATAACGTCATCGTCTTCGGAAGATAGTTTTTCTAACGATTGGGATGATATCTTACAAGATGATGTTCCTTCTAGAGCAGGAATTCCTGGATTACTCAAGACTTCTGTGGGACTCGGAAATCGATATATTTCTCACGATAATAATCGTGGTTCGCTTAATAAGCTTACAAGCCACGGTACATCCAATTATAAATCATCAGTCCCAGGGGAGACAGAGAACCAGTCCCAAAGAAGAAAGAGAAATAAACCTAATAAAAAGAATAAGAATATTGTGGGTATTTTTGATTTCAAACATTTGATTCCGGATAAATACGAACTTGCTTGTGAATACAGAGTTTTAGGTGATTCCCCAGAAAAATTAGCGAAGTATAATGGGGAAGTGGCTATGAAATATGGTCTCCGGGAAATAAGTGATGCATGGAGGATTTTGGAAATGATATTGGTGAAGGATGTTGAAATTGATAAGATTCGTCCCGCTTATGATGCATTTGAAGAACCTGGACGAATAAATTCTAGGAATTGGAAAGATGACAGAAATTTCAATTATTTGTTCCATGAGTCTGATATAAGCAAAAAAATGTTTAATAATAAGCATAGATTTTATTGGGGAACACATCCGTTCGGAAGAACATGGTTAATAAAAGAGATTATGAAATACTTCGAAATTAAGGGAAATATTCAAATGCTTGCAATGTTATCATGTATTTTGTTTGAGAATGCGAATAATGTTAAATATCCAGACCTATATAATATACCGATACATACACCATACCAAGCCTTGCCTCCACCTCCCACAACATCAGCTATGCGAAAATTGAATGACCAAAGTCAAATAGATGTATACTCATATCCACACAACCAGAAAGACTCGTCCATGTTTGAATCTGTTGCTACGGATAGTAGAAATGACTTAAAAAGTACAGATTTCGAGAATTTTCATAGAAACTCATCAGTTCTGCTTTTCAAGAGAGACAATCAACTGGTAAATGGGCACTCTTATAATAAATCAATTTCCTCGTCGTTAGATATTAGCTTTAGGGATCATATTTCAGAAAGAAGTGGTTCATTTAAGAAGACTATTCCGTTTAATTCGTCATATTTACCAACAGAGCTATCACTATCACATGGATTATCTAAAGATTCGTATCTTGTGACTTCTCCTAAACAGCGATATACAAAAAATCCTCCTTCACATCAAATTCAGAAGAGAGAAAAGAATATTCCATTTTCGCAAAAACGCTCGAATCAGAGACAAGGTAGGAATATAGCTAGAGCTTCACCTTTTGTCACGATTGAGATGCAAAATGTAGAGTCATTGGATTTATATGACGATGTGTATTCTCTGTTATTATTAGATACACAACAAGAAGAAAAGATCAAAACATACAGAGAACAATATGCTGATATGTTATACATATGGGGATTACCAATTAATCGTATTAAAATACTTAAATTCAATTATCCTGGATTAGATAATTCAACTTATAGTTCTGGTTCTTCATTTGGTGTTCATAAATGCAAATATGGATTAAGAAAAATCAAAACTAAACAGAGCCCAAAGACATTAAAATTGATCAATCCTATAGAAACAATAGGGACAAATGCATGGAATACAAGCAAGAAGGACACATTGAAATATTGTAATTTATGTAACACAGTTATCACAAAAAGACTAGTTGTTTGCATAAATTGCGAGCATGCCTTACATTCCCATTGCGCGGTAGAGTGGTGGGCTAATGATACTAATGACAATGATTTCAACATAGAGTGTCCAAGTGGCTGCGGATGTAATTGCTTAGATCATAAAATTTAGAACTTTGTAATATTATGTTCATTT